AGTACCTTTAATATTTTTTATTTTAAACAATTGACCGTTAAACATTAATCTCTAATATAAAAAAAGATTACTATAAAATAGGAAAGAATTTTATAATTAACTAAACGAGAAATAAGAGTTCGTAACGGAGAATAGTTGTAATTGAAGGGCCAAAGGAATACAAGTGCATTCGAGCTCGCCCAAAAGATTAGAACACGCTTCCATATGTAACATGAAATTAATATAATACGGACTCCGACAATATTATATAAATATACATATGTGATTTTAATAAATGCTATGGTTGGTATTATTTAATGTTTACTTGTATAGATTACAGTGATATAAACATTAAAATTTGTATATACATAAGGGTACTTATACTAATAAACATACCCACAGTGAAATATAAATAAATATAGCGTCTATAATTTTTACTTTCCCGTCGTTTGAAAATACTTATTTCGGCTAAGAAGAGGATGGTAAGTGAAAGTAGTGTGATGCGCGCAACTCAACAGATTTTTAGTTGAATAGCAAGCGATAACTAAAGAAATATTTAATTTAAATAATAACCAATTCCTTCATTGTAAATTAAACAAAATTTATTTAAAATAAAATAAAATTCGTTATTGTTAAAACTATTATACAGTAATTTTGAGCGCTATGTTCTGTTTTTTTTAAATACATAAATCTATACTACGGTTACACCACTTTTAGAAAGAACCTCTTCGTTCAATAAGCTTTAAGCCCATGCTAATTAAATTGTGCAGGCCAAGATAAAAGGCCATATTAGTTTTCTATCTAATCCACCTCCTAAACAAAGCGTCTGCTGGCATACATTCACTTTGAACAACTTTTAATATGAATGTTAATGTTTACATTTAATTAATATAGTAGTTAGAACAAATAAATAGGTTTTATTTATTTCATACAACGTAAATAATTCATAACAGCGAAAATCTTAAGGTTTTAATATCTCATAAACAAAGAGTTTGCGGACATAACTTCAGAGGAAATTCTGTTTCTTGATTTAAGGTCCTTGGTTCATTTTTGCAGTTTGGCCACTTAATCCTGAAACACCCTGTATAATTTCAATAATTTGACAAATCTTGCCACTTGATGAGAAATAGTTGCAAGTTTGACCAAAAGCTGTAATCACGTTATATCAATTAAGGATAAAATAAAAAGGACACCTATAAAATACTAATTCTAAATTTGTTCTATTTATTTTTCTCACAATAATTCTAATATGAATTAAAGAAGAACTAGTGCATCCCTATTGCATCCCTCCTAATGCATTCAACATATAAACGTCCTCAGAGATATATTTTTGTACGTTTTTACTAATATAACGTTTTATAGGGTTTAAAGTTTTGAAATTGGTTATCGTCATTTCTCCATGAAATTCCTTTTCGTTTGATACATTATTAATCAAATCCATCACTCCTTACAACCAGTAAAGTAATATATAATATCGTATTGTATATTATTCAGTGTATATTATTCAGAAATCGTAACTTTAGACGTTTAAACTTATCCTCAATACAGATTTTAATCATAGATTTTTATTAATAATTAATTATAAAGTACAATTTATAAAAACAGCTTAGTAAACCTAAAGGTTCAATACCTATCATGCTAATATTATACATTTCTCCACCAAACGCTATCGAAACTTAAATCTTCTAATACTTGGACTCACTTATGTGTGCTTATTTCCTAGGTTTGATAGTTAGATATACTATTATTCGTCATAGGTACGACCACGTATTTTATTTTATTCTAATCATTCTTAAAGAAAAGCCTGAAACGTTCGTTTGAGGTTCTTATAATAATGTTTTAGAAATCCTTTAGGTGGAAAATTATCTTCTGCGGTGAACGCTTTGTGGTGGTGACTATACTTCTACGTGACAATGCTCAGTTATAATTGTGTATAATAGTTTCTCATTCTATTTTTTCTCGTTCAGTTCCTTAGTCAGTTTTAGATTCTCGGTGATTTCTTAATAACTTGTATGATTTTATTTAGTTTTTATAACATAGCTATTTATCTGAAAATATATTTATTATGTAGTTAACATATCAACTATAGGTTATATAATTAATCATATCTTACAATAAGTGGCTTTTAATACTGAAAAAAAATAAAGTATTAGTGAGCTTAACAAGTCTGCATTGACGTTGAAAAAATAAATAATCAGTTATATTCTTTTTAAGTTTTATTAGTATTATTTTATTTCTTATCGTTAGTTAATACCGTGCTTTTTTTTTTTTTTTTTTTTTGTTAAAATAATGTATTTTTAAATCATGGATTGACAATTATATTATTATAAAAACACACATTTGAACACATAGTTCTAAATTATTTCTTTTTCTACACCAACTTTTCAGCCCTTTGGCCATTTTTAAGTGAATAAATCTATTTTAAACAATTAAAATCAATATGGACTCAATCGCCCTTGTCAGCATAACTTAATTAGTCAAATGCTTAATTAAAGAAATAAAGTAAATACTTACATAAATAAAGTAGGGCTATCTGATCAAATGTGTGTTTTTATTATTACTGTTAAGGTAAATCGTAACCTACAAGTTTGAATACATATGTTTAATTCGTGTTTTGTTTTTTATTTTTATAACATTGATTATTCCATCATTGAAACAAAATTGTGCCTAAATATTATTTAAAACATGTATTATTATAACAAATACATTGAATTATACACACAGTTTGGATAAAAATTAATTTTAAATAATTTCATAAAGTTTGATTATTTCAAACATTCTGTACGTCCTCTAACATATTTGTTCATAGAAGTAACATTGTTAGCAAGGTAATTTTTTCCTTGATAATATTTAATGTTCGATGAATAATGCAATCTAAATTAAAACAGTTTATATTATTATTTCAAGTGTTTCTTTTGTTATCAAGGCCACAGTGAATCACTTGATATTTTTTTAATTATTTAAACTTCCGATGAACGGTGTTTTAAAGAACCATTAAACGCATTTTAAAACAGCTCATAAAAAATAATGATGGTGATTTATCTAGAATCATGATACATGTTGCTATTGCAAGATTTTTTAAAGATCATATTTGCGGATATCGTTATGTCTATTACTTATTACTATTTACGATAATAAGAATGATAAAATTGTTAGGATGTGCATTCGAAAATTTATTTTATCAGTTAGTTGAGGTTTCGATCCAAACATGTGGGTCATTATCAGGTCTAAACATTTAAAATATAAATTTAAAAATATAAATTAACACCAGAAAATTGATAAACATAAAAGTATACTATTAATAAAGTTAAAGAATAACATCAATAAGATAATAATAATAAGAGTAAACAAAAAAGATTATAGGAATAAAAGTAAAAAAAATAATGAGCTGGAACGTAAAATTAGGTAAGACTTATATAGACACAAAAATAATAAAGACATTGGAACATATAAAAATTAACAAATATGACAAAAACTTATAGAAATATAGTTTTCTATACAATTACCAACTCGCTCATTAAAGAAACTATTGACTTCATATCCTGATAATTTTTTCATCGTTATAATTTCAACAATCAACTGTATAACCCTCCCCCCCCTCATCTCTGAATTTATAATAATTATTTTATAGATAACCAAATTTTTATTTTCTCCCAAAAATCTGATGAAGGTCGATTTCGGTTTTTTTTTCAAAACGCTGTAAAGTTTGTAACGAAACATTTTTATTAATATTGAATTGCTACCAAATAGTTGTGCATTTATTAATATAAATTTTAAAATATTCGTAAATTTAATCATTAGAAGATTTATACAAAATAAATATTTTTAAAAAATTCTTAATTATTGCTCTGGTCTTCACAGTGACTTAGTGAGTAGTCTGAGTAAAATTTTGTGTACAAATTTCGAAAGTCGTTCGACTTGTTAGGTCGTAGCATATCAAGAGGTTTTTCTCCAAACAGCAACATCAAACGATTTACTCAGCTAAGCAAAATGAGTGTTTCTTAGAAATTGTGACGATTTCATTTAAAATCAGTTGATCCATTAAAACCTACATAACAGATATATAAGTATCAAATTAATTTCGTGTTGTACTTTTAACGTTAATATTTCCTATTCTTGTCCCTTACCTGATGAACAATTGTTGCTTATCTTTTTATAATATATATGACGTATTGCTGTTTTTCTCTAATGCGCCATTGATGACTCCATGACTCTTAACAATTATATTTCATGCTTTATTTTTATCTTAACGTTTAAAGGTCAGAATTAAAAAAAAACAACATAGGAATGAGCCATTCTGGTGACGATCCTTAGTATTATTTTTAAACCTTTTTTTCTGGACGATACCGCTCCTACGGAATTTAAAAATTTCATGGTAATGTTATTTATATATTTATATATATATTTTTTGCAATATTGGCTATCGAATAGCCGCACTTATAACATTTTTTTCAATTTTTTTTTTTTTTGTTTCATATTAGTCGGTATTCTATTCATATTCTCACTCTCTTTCGTTAATCTGTTCATTTTTCACACCTCTCCTCTACTTTTCCACTTCATTTTAAGGTATTCTCTAAATTTTTCTTTTATCTTAAAATTATTTTTCTCAAATACCAAGTCTTGATAATTTCCTCTTTCATCCATCTGGAGTATCCCTGACGTTAGCAAGTCCTGTTAATTTGTCAAATATTTGTTCAACCTGTTTTCATTCTTTCTTTTCACGTCTTGTCTTATTGTCGTTTCCAAATGTTCAGTTCCTTCATACAGTTCTTTATTCTTTTTTTTAAACCAGTACTCTTTTTATAATGTTCTTCGTCCTTGGATACGTCTTAGAATTTTTCTTTCTATTTTTAGCTTTTTCTTCAAACTAGTAAACCCCATTGTTTCCGATCCGTATATTATCGCCTATCTCACTAGTGTTTCAAATTTTCTAATTTATGTTTTATTTCGAAAGATTATTTTTGTACATATAGATTTATATGTACACATATTATAAATTTATATATACGTATTTTTTTCAGAGCAACTGGACAAACCACTGTACGATGACTTAAGCATAGCGGAGTACGGGCACAACCAGGTCACCATGCTGTCCATCAAGAATCTTCCAACAGCAGTCTTGACTGAGGATATTCTACAAATGAATAAGTACAAAACGGTAAGCCATTTTTTATATTATTTATTGACCTTATTAATACATTTAATGTTTTGTTAAAAATACATAAAGTTATATAAAATTTATTTAAATAAATTTTAAATATTTTTAATCATACAACTTTATTCCTTAACATTCAACTGTTTCCTTAAAATTCTAAACAATAATTCTTCCTTTAATGTACTTTATTGGCGTTTACTGACGTGCTTTCGCCAGCTCTGTAACTTCAAGAATTTGAATTAATAGTTTGTTATTCTTTGTTGACCATTCTCTAGTATTTGAGGCAAGCATTGTAAAATAAAAATAAATTTATAGGGCTTTCGAATAAGTTATATTTCGAATCTTGTCCCTTCAATTGGTAGTTCTTATGCTAGTAGTTAGCAAACAGCATAGCGATATTAACAACTTTTTTTATATTGTTTTTAAAATGTCATTGAAATCCTCTGGATGATCGACATTTACTTTCTGTAATTTAGTTTTAAAATCACCGCCGATAAACGTGTATCATTATATAAGGAAGCGCAAAAATAGCTGTCACGGTTTTAATGAAATTTCCCTAAATTCATCTCCTTGAAGCCCTTTATATTTATATATATAGCATACTCTCCCGAAATGAAGCAGAAAAAAAAAGTTACGATGAATCCAGAATTTTATGCGTAAATAACTCAAAGAGTACACACATTTTGTGATTTTTATAAGTAAATATTTCAAAGGTAATCAACATTCCGAAAACGAAGAAAAGATATATCGAATTCGAAGCATAATTTTTTTTTTTATCAATATCGATTTTATATTAATATTATAAAGTACGAATAATAATTAAAATTAATAAAAAATTGCTAGATTTTATTATTGATAAACCTTGGTTAAACTTTTAGAAATAATGGTTTTGCTGCCTTTATTTATGTTGAGCTATTTATTAGTTAAATTAAATAAAACAATAAAATAATGGTAAATGTTAAAAATTGTAAAACATGTAATGTAACTAAGGTATTTTTCCATCCACATCGTATTAGTTAAATTAAGTAATTTCTGAGCCTAGGTGCTTTCTGTAATATAGTTTTAAATGTGATTGAATACTTAACTTCCATCAACTTGGTGTTAACATTATCAGTTACGTTTAATTCGAATTTTCTTTAACTAACTGATTGGTTCAGTTTGATACAGACCATTGATTATGTTTTTTATTTGTTTTATTTTATGAGATATCAAAAGCTCATTATTTGCAATATTGTTAGTTTGATATCTGTTATCAGATGATTTTTTTTTTTTGGCAGGTCAATAAACTGCTTCTATCCTATTATAAGTTTAAACTATTTTTAGGTTTCTGATAAACCTATTACAGTTTTGATTGGTCTGTTTTGAATTCTTACGATTTCTAGGTCTTTGGCCCGAAGTTATTATCAAATCTTAGATATAAAGACCGTTGTAATGTTCCGTTGTATCAGTCTGAAACACATACGATATCTATATTGATTCGTTTCCACTCTTATTTTTAGTGGTTATCACTAAATCTAATTACCACTTCATTGCGTCGTCGTCTGGACAATTAATCATACAGTTGAGAGCCTTTAATTTGATGATTTGAAATTTGAATGATACATCTGTCATAATTAAAAGTAATAACAAAATATGTCCCAAAATTCAATACCTTAGAAGCTACTTGTATTTTTTTAATCAATCATATTTAAGACAAGTTTGATTCAAAGGTTTTGTAATTGCTGGAATCTATGTCAACAATTAGAAATGAATCCTTGAACGTACCCTTGATATCTAAGGCAGAATTTTCCATAAAATTATGTATCATTGTTTGTTCAGCTATAGATAAGTCAGTGAAAATTATGTAAACATTATAATAAGATTTTTACAACAGTATCATTAGCTCTTCTGTATTTGCTAGAAAGCAAGAATTGGTATCATTTAACGGATAAAATGATTGCAAAATCTATTTTTGAATTTAGACTTAAGGCAGAAGTAAGGTAGCAAAATAATGATGACGACAATGCACTGGGACTCACATCAGAAGATGGCATGGCACTAATTATGCCATCTAAATTTATGAGGGATCGTAATTTATAGAGTTTTGATTTTTTTAGGGGATATTTTACCTATTTTTGGAATGAACTACGTTTTCGTTGATTTTCAATTTGGAAGAATATTCAAACCTGAAAACATGGAACACATCACAGCAAATTAAATTATAAATAAACTACAATTTTTATAATTCTGTTTCTGTTAGTAACGTTGAGAAGAGGAGAGGAATAAAATTTCTTGGAAGGTGGGACATGCGCCGTTAGCCTTAAGAAGTATAATATGGATTATCCCCGCTAAAGCGCACCGAGCCACAATAGTAGATCTTCCGCGTGTGGTATTTATCGGTCGTTTGAGCGTACGTAGCGAACGATTGAGGACATAATAAAAACTAATTAAGGTTCTGATTTTAATTGAAAAGGACCACTTGTGGTATTGGCAAAGTTGTAAATCATGATTTAAATAAAAAGAAGTATTGTCTGTCAACCCATTTTCAAAATTCTCTAGTTTTCCAAATTTTGTCTATAGTCGTTCATTAGATTTTGTGTCCACCCATCAATCTAGAGCAACACAAAGTAAGTGTACAGTAGTATATTAAATATAAATTAACTATATGACCAGTTAGTATACACCTCCAAGTAGTGGTAAGGCACTGACTTCTAAGCTGATTGTCCCGGTTTCATACTAATGACAAGTAATTTTTCATTAACCGTTGATCGAAACGGGGGTCAGGAGACCCTCTCACATCCAGTCTCTATAATGTGGAAAGTCTAGTAATTAAATAATTAATTAAGAGGGGAAACCTAGCGTTTGAGGGTAATTCTGGCCTGATCACACCTCTGCACAACAGTTAACCTTGTAACATTGCTTCTTTACAAAGTACTAAACCTTAAGACCCTTCGTGGGTTGTAGAGTTACAGTTGTTGTTTTTTTCCCGTCAATATTTAGTTTTTGTCAAATAAAGGATTTTGCGACTTGTACATAGAAAATAAAATTGAATTGAAGTTCGTATTTCAGTAATTTGCAGTTAACATTTGTTAGGAAATAATTGCAGTTATAAGAGACGAACTTAAATCATTTGAAGCTATATTTTTTTCCGAATAAGAGATATTACGATTTGGACATTAGCTATTGTTACTTAATCAAAAAGATCGTCCATTGTGTTTTTTTTCTTATTTGTGTACACTGGTAAATTCTTAAGTTATCTCTATTGTTATCTCTGAAGAGGTCCCGCCGTTCGGTTGTCGTTTCCAGTTCTAATGAGACCTCTGATAAGGAAACATCTACCATCTTTCTTACCTGCCCGATATGATTTCCAAGATGGGAAGGTGGCTGCTAAAGAGAAATTTGTCTTTCCAGCAAAGTGACAGTGGTTCGGGAAGTGCTGCGAGTTCTGTATCGCCGGTGGTGCCCGTTCAGCCTTCGAAGCCCGTGAGGAAGAGGAGACCAGCGCCGAAACCTCCCGTGCAGCAGCGAAAAGAGCAGTCCCAAAAGCAGCAGGTAGGCAGCAACTATCATATAATTAAATTATATCCAAGTATATTTTGGTATATTATCATAACTATATTAATTATACTTGCATAATATTATCCATTTCATTGAAAAAGTTAAAAAAAAAAAAAAAAAATGTTTTGGCTTTGTTTTTAAATATACTTCAGTAAAATTTAATGAATATTTTATCTATACATTGCCTCATTTAATCGTTAAATATATTACAAAAATAAATCAGTTACTTAGCAAAATATATACAGCATGTATCTATGTGGTTATTATAAATTTTTGAGTCAAGCTTATTTTTATAAGTAACAGTCATAACCTTACAAAGTTATTCATCTTGTTAGTCATAAAGTTATTAATGTGTATTTCCTCAAAGTCATCTTTACAGTTCATATTCAATTTATTTTTTAGATCTATTCCCTTTGCTCTTATCATTGATTTTAGTTCAATTATACATTGTTATTAATTTATCAAAAATTTATTGTCATTAATCAGTTCGAACCATTTTTATCTAATCTTTTTAAACGTATTAAATAAAAAAAAAAGGGAATTAAATTTTATGTCTTATCAGAAGAAATGCTAAAAATATTTATATTTTTAAAAGTTATGATTATTTTTGATACATTATTAAATAAAAATTCCCTCTCCTTCTCCATAATTGAAATAAAATATTTTCTTTTAAAATATATTTTTATTTTTAATATACGAAGTAAATACATATGAATAATCAAGAAGATTGAGTTTTAAATATATTTATTACTATAAAAGAAAAAATTGATTACATAGTAATCATTAATGGCGTAACGGTAACTGTGACATCTCTTATTATACAATGCGCCAGTGACATTTGACATGCTTTAAACACGAATTTCTTTAGTTGATATGTATCAGCTGTGAAGATAATTTAAACATAACAAAATACTGAATTATATTATAATTATATACATGATTAAACACTCGGAATAATTTAACGAAAACCAAACATGTTTGGAGAAAATTATTATCATTATATTATTTCTTACAGTTTTTGACACTTTTTTTAAAAACAGGTTTGCAGCATTTAATATCAATTGAATGATATGCAGGTATTTGTTGCAGTTAGGCCAAAAAAATAAAAGATGGTACCATTTCAAACTGTAAAATATCATACTGTATTTCAAGGACGACATATTGTAGGCGTAGAGTCCTTGTTATCCATTCAGAAAAAATAATTGTACCTGAATAAAACACGATTTTGAAAATAGTATTTGTACTTTTCGTTTATACTTTTCGAAATATTTGTCGTTTTTCCAAAGCTTTATCAACACTAGCAGAACGAACAGCGTAACGTGCATATTTGGGTTAGACTTGTTTTGTGTTCACGTCGAGCTTAAATTCAGCTTAAGTTGATAATTTTTTGGTGTTTTTATAATTGTTAAATGATTTTATTGGGATTGTTGTTGGAACAGCATAATATCTTGGATCTCGGCCTATATTTAATATACAGCTGATTTGGTTTTGACCATTGAGGGATTGAAGTTATAAATATTAAATTTTCCTCCTCTTCCTCTTATTCTATCGAGTTTTTTTCCTCGGGCCAGAGGAGAGGGCTGGGGATTAATGCTAGAGTTAAAAGCTCTCGGAACCGGGACTTTGATTCGTAATCTTGAGGTTATCAAGTTGCTAGGCAACGCCTGTATTCCAAACACGCTCAGCCAACCACCCCCTCCCTCCACAAAAAAAAAATTATCACTTAAATGTTTAAAATGGTTTTATATAGTATAATATGCACAAGTAAATTAATTTTTTTTTTTCAAATAAGCGCAAGTTGTGGATACCAATATAAGTGAATCACTGAAGCTGAATGTTCTACTTATGTTGAGACGTTTTTCTACATAATAATGTATCCCTTATAAAATCTATAAATTTTTGTTTGTTACTCTTTTTGACATAATTATTATTGTTGATAATTTTGTTGAATTCCATGAAATATTTCTGGAAAAAAAAAATTAAATAGAAAATGATCTGTTCCCTTTAAATCTCAATGCCCAGCCCAAGTTACATCCTTTGCCTTTGCATGTCAGAAACCATTTAGAATAACCCTGTAACCCATACTTGATTGACTTCCCAATGTAGTTGATGCTATTTAGTGTTTTATTGAAAAATTCAGTTAACACACTGCGTTATTAAGTTTTTCAGAAGATATCTTCCTTGCTGTGATGGTTTGCTGGTAATATTTCTTTTTTTTAGCGACGTTTGATTGTTGTTATCAAAACCAAAGTATTATAAAATATTTTATTAAATTAAACCTTTCGTCTATAACCTATTTTGAAACAACTGAAGCTGATAGCTAAAACCCACCGAAAGCTGTAAACATAACTTTAATTTTTAAAAGAAATTGGAAACTTCATAGGAAGTATTCCCATCATATATAAAATGTCTGTTAGTAATTTTAGCACCTATTACAATATGTATCTAAATAAAGTGACATATTATGACATTTGGAGCCTAAATGGATATATTTTTGTAGTCCCTCAAAAAAGCCCGTATTAAAGGGCCGTCTTAGTGAGAGCACTAACTATTAAAAAACAGACTTTTTTAACTACAGCGTTTTTGTATGATTGAAAAAAAAAATGTTATTATTTTGCAATATAGTTCTTCAATTCAATTAAAATAAGGAACCTTTTGTGGGGTAAAGAAATCATGGGCATATTTGCCCCTCATCCCCTCCTAGATACATCATTGTGTACATGTGCATACTTAGACAAATATCTAAACAAATTTATTCTTAAAATAATTGATTTTCTAAACAGAATGAAGCTATTTTAAATTCATAAATTAATAATATAAACAACCCATTATAAAATTGATGAACTAAAATAAATGTTTGATTAGATTTATGATTAATAAGTAAATAAATTTTAAAGAAGTGTAAATGTTTTTTAACTTCTAATATAACAGCTCTGAATAATCATTAAAAAAAAATCTCTGACAATGTTGGACATTTTACCTATTAAGGTAATTGTGATGTATTCATTACATCAAAATATTATTATATTGATTTAAAAATTATTGTTTATTTTTAAGATAAAACATTTTTATAACTGTTTTTTTATTGTTTTAGAGTGAAACCATCATTTGCCATTCTCGAACTTCTTCTGACAGTAGTGGCTACCATGAAGCATCTGTGCTTAGTGAAAGTCCAGATTCTAACAATAGGTCATTTTTTTTTATTTCATTATTAATTAATAGTGTGTATTTTTTAAAAATATTTTATTAAATGTAACTTTTTCTTCAATTACAGTAGCTTGCCAGATTCCCTACCTAGAAGAAGCAAACTTCCAACTGCCGAAACAAATAATAGTAGAGAAACGAATAAATTATCTCGGTCTCTATCAAACCTCCATCAAGCTTCAACTTCTGCTTCTGCTAAATCAACTCTCAAACCTGCGCAGAGTGTTTCCTGCCTTGCTCCTAGTAAGTTTATTATCACTAATTTAGTGTTATGTTGAGAAATAACAAGATTTAACATTCGTAAATATTACTTAATTTCTCATTTTTATATTAAAAATTGTCTAAACACAGTCTTGTTATTAGTTTAAAATATTATTCATAGTGAGCTGATTGAATTTCTAGAAAAGTTTTAAATACAGGCTTCATGTTAATAAGTTTTTAAATATGAAACTCAATCTATGATCTTATGTTTATGTTAAATTAGTAGGAAAAAGTTTATTCCTGCCTAAAATGACAAAATTATTTTTCACACAATAATAGAAAGTGTTGAAGAAAGTTACTCAACTGTTCTACATATCATGGGTAATAAATAGTGTGGATGAAATCATTTTAAAGGTTTGTATTGGTGGCAACGTTTCAATCCAAGAATGTGGGTCATCATCAGGTCATGTTTCGAGCACTGAAGTTACTTAAATAACTTGAGTATTTGAATAACTTCAGTGCTCGAAATACGCACCAATTTTTCAACCATGGAAAGGTAGTCTTCTTTAGTCTGAAAACAAAAATATTATTTCTACTATTTGCCATTTGATTAACTTTGCTGTCTAAAAAACAAATAAATAAAAAAAAAATGTATTTCTTATGGTGTGTTTATTGCTTGAATGTTTTCTCAGGTCGTAAAAAGAAACCTGCACCAGCACCACCAGTCCCAATAGCTGAAGAGAAAGAAGATAAAAGTGCAACGCTTCCTCCTTGCTCCCGACTAATGGAATCGACTGAAGAGAGGATAGAAGCACCAATAAACAAGAAGCCTGCTCCAGTCCGAGCGCCAAGTCCTGTAAATACTGTTGGTGAGTAAAATTGAAATACCTCTTTTGGGTTAAAATATAATTGGTTTTTAAATATTATCAATATTCATACTGTACATAGTTACATCAGTATATTTGTATAGTTAACATATTAACAGTAAGTCATTTCAAATAATAACAATAAACATTAGTAATGTCTATAATGACATACCTTTTGTAAATACTGGACTCTACTAACTATTTTATATCTAACTATAAGAATATAGATAACAAATTACAGACTAAGTAATGGGAAGGAGGGCTATTTCAAAAATTATTTATTTTATTCTTTAAATAAAATAATTGTTATGAAAATAATAAAATATTGTTAATTACTGAGTCATTGGCCAAATGGAAAAATAAGTAATTTATATTTTCTTGTTGAATTATTTGCTCAATAAACTTTTCTTTTTCTCTACATTGGCCATATATGAAAGGCCATTCCTGATCTCCCACTTTTCTTCTGTTGAACCGTCAAGTTATGGTCACATTTTAGTGTTTCTGGGTGAGACATGATGCAGAGGTGAGAGGAAACATTGGATAATGAAAATGATCATTTGTAGAAAAAAAAAATCTATATTAAAAATTCTTATAAAAAAAATTGAATGATAAAACTAATTTGATTGAAAAATATTAAACATTTTATTTTAAGTTCACTTTAAAAATAAAATTTAAATTACATGCAGATTTCCAGACAGACAGTCATTTACACTTTTCATTGAAACTCATCAACAAACATTAAAACGAATATGAACAAATATTTGTATTAATAAATTCCTAAAATTGATCATTAAAAAAATAATAAGTATGTTTAAGATTCTTTATTTATTAACATTAAGTTTATTGAAATGAGGGATTTCATAATTTTTGTTTATAAATTATCAGTTTTTCTTTTATCATATACATAATTGTGTGTTTTCTGCTAGCACCCTCTGCATCATTAAAGATATGTAGGAATGTGCAAAACAAAAAAGTAGTATTTTTTGCTAATGAACTTATAAAATATTAATTTCACATACTTACTAAATTAAATGATAAATGTCGCATGTTAATTTTTTACTTATCAAGTATAAAGGAGCACCTCAGTTAATCAAACACTGAATAAGGAAACATTTACCATATTTAAATTAATTATCCTATAGCTTTTTAAAACTAAAAGTTTGAATATTTAATAAAATATATTATAATTTAATTTACTTACTAATTTCAGATATACATAAAGAAATCATTTGCTCCAAAGCCATTCCACTTATCAATAGTTACAGTAGTTCACCGAGAAAAACTGTAGAAAAACTATGCCCCTCCCAACCAGTAGCTAAATTGTTAAAAAATTTTGAAACCACACAGAACTTAGGTAATAGTAGGCAATCTAATTCAGAAAATCCTTCAATACCTGTAGGTCATGTTAAAAGTCTTTCTGAAAAATTTGTAATTTGTTCAGAAACGCAACCCGTTATCAATAAAATCAAACAGCAAATAAAGTTTTTAAACAGTAAATTTGAAAATGACTGTATTTCAGAAAATAACTATATCTTCAGACAAAATAATTTTGGTAGGACTATGAGAACATTTTCAGAATGTTCATTCGGTTCAGTTCCTGAATCATCAGCAAACAGAAAATCAAGTTGTGTTTCAGATTCTGTTTCTCTGATTCCGTCAAATCTTATGGAAGAACTTGAGGCGAGAATTAGTGGAAGGACAAACAATGTCAAAATGATCTTAAAGCATTTTGAAAAAGTAAATAATGAATCAGAATCCTATGAAAATTCTGAAACTAATGATTGCAACGAACCATTGAATGGTTTTGATGAAACCTTAATTTCTAGTGATGATGTGACCTCTGAAAAAATTGATGATTATTTACCCAAAGCTTCTTATTTTGAAGAACAGGAGGGCTTATTCCTCGATGGTAGAAAAGAACCTAATTTTTATAATGATATGACGGATAAAATTTATCCAGAAAATGATACTGCTTCAATGAATGACGAAATACAGAGTACAAGCATTGAAACAATTATAAATTCATCAGATATGAAAAGTAGATATTTAGCAAATGGGGAAAATGATGAAATTGTAAGCTATGATGATGAAAATGATGATAAGTTATGCTATGATGGTGAAAATGATGGAACAGTATGCTATGATGGTGAAAATGATGGAACAGTATGCTATGATGGTGAAAATAATGGAACAGTATGCTATGATGGTGAAAATGATGGAACAGTATGCTATGATGGTGAAAATGATGGAACAGTATGCTATGATGGTGAAAATGATGGAACAGTATGCTATGATGGTGAAAATGATGGAACAACATGCCATGATGGTGAAAATGATAGAACAATATGCTATAATGGTGGAAATAGTAAGTCTGTAAGCTATGATGGAGAAAATAATTCACTTTCAGGTTCATCTGATTCTTATGAAAATGTAGTTACTTTAAGAAATTCAGAAAATGAGCATTCTGTTCGGCTTGGTTTATGCGATGAAAAAGAAAATTTATTTAATGGACCAAAGGTAATACTTCAGTCTATCACTGACGACTGTGAAGACAAAGGTTTTATGGAATCATTTCATGTTAACCATTCATCGCCAATTAAAGAACCTGTGGCGAATATTTATAATTTCTGCCCAGAAAATCATCTTAAAATACAACAAAGTGATTCAAATACAGGAACTAATGATATTTATGATGATATTGCTGAAATAGATAACAACAATGAATTCATTAATAGTTTTAAACCAAATGGTGAGTATGAAAATGAAGAAATAAAAATTGTCAAACATAATAGTGATTCTGATTCAAATTGCGTTAGCTCTGATTCTTTGTCACAGTTTAATACCATCAATTCTTCTTCTCATGGTCCAAATATATATGAAACTAGTGAATATACAGAAAAATGTGATTGGGATACAGATAATAACGATGGTAATATTTTAGAGCAGGAAAATCTTGTTAATAGTTCTGAAATAACTTATGATAGTAGTTCTTGTGACAATAAAGCTGAATTTCTCCAGAATGTTGAAGTAACTTCTAAATTTAGTTTACCATCTTATAAGACTCCAGAAAATCCTAATGTACACGTTGAAAATGTTACAGATTCTAAAACTGATGGTCGTAGAGAGTCCTTATTTTCAAACAACTCTGCTATTTATGAAAGTATGGAATCCATTGAGGAAAAAATTGAGGAAAATAAATTAGCTTCAATGGAAACAAAGGCTAAACAAAAGAATAAAACAGTTACATTTTGTGAACCAAAGAAAGAACTAGAATCTATCTCTGAAAACGAATATGCAAAACCTTGCAAACGTGAAAAAACTCGATTTTCTTCTCCACTTAAAATTGGTTTATGGACTCGAAAAGGAAAAGCTTTTTTGTTTGGGAAAAAAAAGAAAACTCAAGAGCAAACTTGGACACATGTAGATAATTACAGTTTTTGTGATTGTCCCGATCCAGATGTGGTTTATATCCGGGTACCTGATCCTTCAGAAAATGAAGAATCTCGTATGAAAAGGAATGAGAGCCCCATGAGTGACCATAGTGAACATACTTATATGGCGATGAATGGAATTAAAGCAGGCATTCCTGAAGCAGCATATGAAATATCAGAATCCGAACTGGTTCATAACAAACTCTCAGAACTGTTGAACAGTAGACCTGATGAATTCTTGTAATGGCCGTTTCAATCTCATTTCTAAATGACCTCAAAGTTTTGACAGATGTAATGTTATATTTGAGCACAAAAATAAAATAGTTACCTAAATATCTAATGATTATTTTTTATATTAATGTTTATAGTAAAAATGTATGCAATTTTTTTCTTATTACTTACTAATACAACCAAAAACTATAAATCCAAACTACGTAAATAAAAAAAAATTGTACATATGCCTCTTCAAACAGCAATCGTATACAGCATTGTTTATAATTAGTGATGTATATAGTTAGTTAATTTAGATGTAAATAAATTTTTATTTTGGTAAACTAGTTCCTTATAATTTGGTTAAAATTCCTTCTAGTCATTTATAAGGTTTGGTGAATATTTACAAATTTGTAATTAGTTTTACTAGTTGTACAGTAATAATGTCTGCCCAGTATTATTTCATTTATCTAGTACTTTTTTTCTCATTAATTACTAATTTCTTGACCATAATTTGAAATTTGTTTGAATTATGATGATATAGAATCATAATTAAATAGATATACTTGGTACATGAAATAAACTAGTCAGGCAGTTGTAGAAGTCTATTTAGTAGATTAGTAGTGCATGTGGCATGTTTCCCCTTAGTACCTGTGACCCGCCAGAGGATAAGTAAACCAAAGGCACCCGTCCCTCGGCCGAGGAGCACGAGTTTTGAGAACACGAGGCTGAACCAGAATATTTTCGACAAACTGGAGGTCATCATTAGTGAGAAGATAGCACCTCAAGCACCTCAGAGTGAAAGTATGTTCAATACTTCATGGATATTTTTGTTGTGAATAGCAGGTGTTAGAGCTTTAAAGTGTTTTTTTATTCATTGCATGCAGCATGGGTGGTGGTACATTTGGTGAGTGGATAATAACTAAAAATAATCTCTAACATATCTGTTAAAAAATCTTAAAAAAAAAAAAATGATTGTTTAATGTGAGTATATTTTATTTTAAAATATGTATATGCAACTTTTACAGGAAATAACACAATAATTTTACATATATGTTTTTCTATTGGTAACTGTTCATGTCTTGTTTACTTGTTTCAATGCCTATCATATTTTTCATTTAATAGCCAACTGGGTGTATCTCATAAAATGTCAGTTTATTGCATAACATTGAGAAAATTACTTAATTTATGAATTTATCATTAAATCAAAATGTAATGTTTTATGTTGTCTGTATTAATTACTCCATAAATGGAACACTTTTTTTCCTTATGTAATCGCTCAGTAATGAACGTGGCGGGGAAGAGAGAACTTAAAATTCTGGATATATTAATATTTGATTTTATATAAAATCTTGAATTGAAGCTTTATTTTTTTTTAATTAATGTCTTAGATACATAAAATTTTTACTGAAAAAATATTGAAAATTTTAATAATTTTAAAACATTTTTGATTTGCATTTTAGTTATTTGAATGCATTTGCTCCAAAAGAAAATAATTTTTTAAAATGAGCTTAATAATCATTGGAAACACTATGCGTTTATGGATACATGAACATACTATTCACCATAATTGTTTCATCAGGATATTTTAATTTTAATTTTGTTCTTATTTCATTGCATTAAAATGAATATTTTTGTTATCTTCTTTATTTATTGTAGAAGGTTAAATAATGTTATAATTTTTAATAATCATAACAAATAAATAAAATGAATAATTTTCTTTAGCAAGGCTAGATAACCAAGAAATGGTTTTAGATAGATAGATAGATAGATAGAAAAATAATTTTATTCTGGGACACAGTCCCTTGAGAATAACAAAATAGAACAAAATTAAAAGATCACATCTGGCCAAAATAAAATCAATCGAAAAAAAGAAATAATGTAAAAAAAATATAAGGTAAACATGCTATATACAAAAAACGAAACTATATACAAAACAATTAATACTATGACAAGGCACTTAAAGCTATTTGCACTAGTATACACTTTTAAGAAAATAATAAAGAATTAAAAAAATAAAAATGTATCAATGAATCAATCAATGAATTTGTATGTATTTATACAGTAGAAATAAAAAAAATGGTCAATCAGATCTACCTAAGGTTGTTATGGAAGTAGTTAACATTTTATGGGATACAACTCGATATTATTAGCCTGCAAATGCAAAATGTATGCATGTTCTACATACTTCGCTGTTCGATATGTATTGAATAATCAATATTTTTTTTTATTTATTTAATTCCACGTTTTCAATGTTATTTGCTTATGGCATTAAAATGATGTCAATAATAAGATCATATGGCTGTGTACTTATGCTTTTTGTTGGTTTATAAGAGGTCTCTTGTAGTTCTAGCTTTACAAGTTATAAACAAAAACTAACATTACAGTAATGAATTATTTTTAGAATGAATCAAATTAAAATATTTCTATATTCATGGGCGGATTAAGCAGGAAGTGGATTAAGCAGCTGCTTAGGGTCTCTTATAACAAATAGTCCTGTAGGACCCTAACATTTTAAATATCTTAACTGAAAGATTTTAGAAATCTCAGAAAGTTTAAAAATTATCTACTTGAAATAATTGAATAATACTTAAGACAAGATGTTAAATTTATGGAATTAAATTGCATTCTTTAACGATTAGTCTTTTTTTTTTTATCTTTTATTTATTTATTTTCTTGCTATTATTATTTTTATTACCTTTTTGAGGGCCACTGAAATGTGTACCAATTATGGCTCCCAATTATATTAGTCCGCCCCTGTCTGTAACTGAAGTATTTTTACTAAAAGTATAATGCCCTAAAAGTCATGTTATATTATTTTTATTTAATTTCAAATAAGTTAAATTGATTGTATAATTTTTTTGCTTTATAATTCTCAACTAATGAAGTTTTATAATTGTTGATACCATTATTGAAATGTATTACAAATTTAAAGTTTTTAAATTTTGTTTATCGAGAAATTAATGCTAATTATCTTTAATAGGAATCATAGATAATAAATTAATATTCACACTGAATAATATATTTGTTATTAACAGATACCGATAGTGATAATGCAAGGCTCGATGCTGAAATTGAGAGGATGTTTGATCAGGCGACCAGAGAACATGTATCCCTGGAATCTGGAGTGGAATTATCAAGGGGACCTTCACCAGATTGGAACTGGGAGTACAGACTTCCAGCTCCTCCTACTTTCAGGTTATTATTTTCATAATTTTTTTTAATCTTTTGTATATTTTATTATTTTTTTAACGCCTTCATTCAATTACTTATTATTTTTTATGGACATTGCATTATGTCATATCTGACGTAATTTGTTGGTTCATATTTCTTAATACAGAAAATAAAATTTGAATTCCAGATATGAATCAGGAAAAATCTTGCAATGTTCAGAGATCTTACTATCTCTAACATTAATTTTAACTAAAACTTTCTTTTTGAATAGTGCTTTATCCATTTTGGTTGAGTATTATTCATATAAAATTTTACTTTAATTCAATCAGTGGAATATATGCAGCAATGGCCATTCAGGAACCACAAGCCTGACACAACAGTTGCATCAATTAATTTTTTTTTGCCCTCCCTTTCCTCATCTTTTAGGCTATATGGGTTTTTTTCCTGGGCCAGGAGACAGATCAGAGGGTTAATGTCAGAGTTAAAAGTCTCTGTGGCACCAGGACATGAACTCATAATTGTTTTATCTCATAACTTCTGTTTATCAGGTTGCCGAGCAATTCGGCAAAGTGCCCAAGTAATAATAAGGATATAATTTTTAAAACACTTGACTGTTGGTTTGACATATTTTTACCAATTATTGTTTAATTTTAACTATAAAATTACTTCTTTCTGTAGTTGATTATTTATATTTTTTTATACATTTATACATAAGTATGTTTTTATTTATTTATGTATATATTTTTCAGGGATGATGTTACTGTACCCTCCCTCAGCGATTTAAGTTTATCATCTCCCTTGAAGCAGATTCTCTTTGAGCCTCTTGATACCGCTAAAGAGCTTATAATTGAGGAATCAGAAACAGAAACAGATGGCTTGAATGTTGAACTGAACCTGAGGGAATTAGAAACTATAAACGAAAATGAACTGATTGAAGATGTTCATACCGAGGCAGATGTACATAGAAATTTAGAAAATGTAAATACAAGTAGCGAAACAAATAACAACAAATCATCTGAGAAAAAGAGTGATATTGTCTACAATGGGGAAATTAACGGAGACATACATATAGACAATAATAAACAAAATCAGATAAATAAAACTGATCAAATTAATGTATCCAGTAAGACAAACTTATCGGAGATTGTAAATACTAAAAATAGTAGTGATTCAAATGAAAACATTATCCAAATAACACCAAAAATTAGAGAAGAAAATTTAGAAACTAAGATTGTTGATACTAAGCCTAAAATTGTAATTATAAACAAAAAGAATCACGTTGAAGAACCTATACAAAATGGAATACATTCAAAAACAAATTTCAAATCTGAAAAGGTTTGCATTAGCATTAAAAATGAAGAACTTCAGAACTCTACTAAAGTTATCAACAAGGCAAGAGTAGACAGAAGTGATGCTATCATTAGGGTAAATGGAAAAGTAGAAAGGTCTCAGGAACAGTCTGCAATCATCAATGAGCTAGCAACGGTCATATCGGAGCGACAGCAGAAGCCTCCCAAGGAGGTAAAGCCCGAGCCTAGGCAAGATAGGCCACTGTCGCTTCCGTTAGAAAACTTCAAAATCACAACTTACACCAGTTCCAAACCTGTTGAGATTTACAAAGAAGGAAGGACACCACAGAAGGCTCCAGTGAAGGAAAGCAATTTGGTTGTTCGCAGAAATTCTTTTACTGAGGAGAAAAAGGGCTCTCCATCAGTTAAGAGATCAGCTTCAGCTATTACTAATCTCCAGAGGAGGCTCGAACTTTCCAGGTATTTTTTATTTTTATTTTTTTAATTGAAACTTAATGTTTTATTTTATTTATGATAGGCAGACTATATTATTCTTGAAACTTAGAATACCCTTTTATACAGCCTCATGTTTTTTAATTGTTACATCAAGCTTTTGGTACCTTGCACCATATTCATCTGTTTCTTGTATGAATCCATCCAGTTAGATGTCATTCTTTCAAAAAAAGAATTTTTTCTCTATCATTGATAAATTGTCATACTGTTTTGTTAAAAATCTATATTTTTGGAGGATAGAGGACCTTTTCTGTCCATACCGGACATGTCGTACTTTGAAAATACTCATGACAGAAAAGATCCTCTCTCCTGCAATAATACATATTTTTAAGAAAACATTATGACAATCAATCAATGATTGGAAAAAAAAAATTATTTTTGAAAAAAGGCTGTCAAGGTGGTTGGATTTGGATTAGAAATAGATGAATATGGTACAAGGCACCAAAAGCTTCATGTAACAAATAAATGATAAATCAAATCAGACTGCACTAAAAGAGTATTCTTCTATATTTTATTTTATTAAACATTTAAATTTTATCAAACATTAAATAAATTTTGTTTAACTTTATGGTTTAAAAAAAAACTATTTAAGATGGACAATTATTTTTTTTTTTAATTTTTAAAAATTTGTTTTCCTTATTTTTATGCTAGCGTTTTCCAAAATGTTATTAATAGAGGTCCGCTATTGAAACTGAAATTATTTATTGAAAACTTCCTGCATATAAGATAAGAGGAATGTGAAGATAGTATAATTATGTTTTTACATACTTTAAACAAATAAAAGCACCATTTGTTTTGCATTTGAATTATTGGTTCCTAAAATTTCATTAATATTATTATTTTTAGTTTATTTTATTCAACAACAATGTACAAAAGTTTTATTGAGTAAGCCATAACAACTCATTCATAATGCATGTTGTTCTTCGCCCATTCATGTACATTTCAGGTGTCTTTAAATCTGTAAAGCTGTTAAAATGATAATTCTTTTAAAACTGTCGCCTTTCACAAACTTAGTTAGACAAGTTATTTTTTTTTTTCTAACATGGTTTCTTTAATATACATAAAAAAAATCATCTTTGTTTTAGTCATTCTTTAATATTTTACTGAATTATGATATCTACTCTACAAAAAGTATAATCAATGTCATAATTAATAATATGTCTTTAACTTTTTAATACCATTCTCTATATATATTTTGATATTTGATCTTTACTGAAAAATTGTTTAAAAAAAAAATATATTTATTGTAAAAAAAAAGAAATTAATTTGAAGAATGGTTTTTAATATGTTATATACTTCTTCCTAATATTTAATAAAAACTAAACTGAAGGATGAGCCAAATACTTACATCTATTAAATAATAAAATTCATAAAAATTACTCTAATTTTTCTAGTGAACATAATTTTTAGCTTTAATTATAAACATTTTTTATTTTTAAATGATGTAAAAGATATTTATTTATCTTCTAGATCGAATGGAAATCTTTTGGAAGTTGAAGAAACTCCAGTAAGACACTTCCAAAGAAATCTGAGGAAGACAACCAGTGAGCTCATCATTAATATTGGTATGTTTCCTTCAGTGCTTTTATTAGATAATATTTTTTAATTTATTATATTATATGAACCAAAATACCCCATAAGGAATTAACTGTTACATTGTGAGTCATTCATTACATTGAATACATTTTATTTTTTCAACTAAATTTGGTCAATCAATACTTTACTCTATTAAACCCCCAAAAGTTTGTTCTAAGACCTAAAGCAAAATTTCATTAAAATATTATTTTTAAAAAAAGGCCAAATATGATGTATAAATAGTTGAGTGAAAATTTATAATTATTTTTTAGTGATATGTTTATGTGTTTGGAAAAATGACTTTCAAAAGAATAAATAAAACAAAAAATATTTACATAACATATAGTTGGTAATATAAAAAGGAATTTATAAAGTAAGGAAAAATGGATAATATTTTGTTTGTATAAAACTAGCAGGATAATGATTTATTACCCATTTTCTAATAAAACCATTTTTGTACTAAACAAAACAAAGTGATAAATTATTTTTTTAGTTTTCAAAATTGATTAGAATTAAAAATATACTTTTGTTTATGAAAATTATTGAAAATAATAATTTAAGAAAAAAAATACAAAATGTTCTAAAAGTTTGGCAATATATATCTTGCTTCTTAAAATAGCAAATGAAAAAAAACAATAATATGAAAAATATTTATTTTTAAAAATAAAAGTTCCAAATTTGCTTGATGATTGATAATGATGGAATAAACGAGAAACTGAAGTAAGATGGATTATTATAAGCATTTATCTACATATACATATATATTTATGTAGTCTACATCTTTTTTTTTTTTCAATTGTACTATACAATTCTCTCCAAAAGGCAATAGTTATAGAATTTTTTTTTTTCAGTTAGAAATGAAATGATTTTTTTGGTTAGAAATGATTTTTCATATTTAAAAATAAAGTATCTTAAAAAAAGGGATCGTTATTATTATAGGAATTATAATATGTATGCAAATAGGAAAAATGAGAACCCACTTGTAAGAAAAATAAAACTTTTTTTGATTACATTAAATTGTACTAATATCAAATAATATTTAAAGAAGGTTTTAAAGAGAACTACAAATAAGTCAAATATGCTTTTTTTTTTCAATTCTGGTCTGAGGACTTCATCCAATATATTTTATATGCATTGCTTTTCCATATGGCTTTGTTTATCCATTTTTAGAGTCTCTGTTGTTAAAAAAAAAAATTCTGTCAACATGGACTTTCATTCTACAAAGCATCTTTCTTGAATTAAAATTTAAAATAGTATTTTTATTTTCAAGTAATCCCACACCTCATCCAAATAATGCGATTCTAAATTTTAGATACTTATTTAATTTTGGCTTAAGAATATAAACTGGAATGATTTTTAATTCCACTTTTCGCTGAAATTCAGTAATACATGCATTAGTTCTTCATTATTATGAATGCTTTCATATGTTATTACAACTTGTTACTCGTTAATATTTTAAAAATTTATTTAACTTTATTTTTGTGAATCTACAGAGTAAATAATTTAAGTATTCCTTTGGTGCTTCGATCTGTAAATGCACTAATTTGGAAAATAAATGTATCTTTAATTAAGAACAATAGTAGAAATTTCATTATAAAATAAATTTTTAATATTTTGTTACAATAGTATTAATGAACACATGTGGTGGTTTGGACTTTGTTCATTTTGATCGGACTAATTTGCATTGAATCTGTATTAGAATTTAAATTATAAACCAGTTGAATTAAAATTGGATAATAGGATTGCAATTAATCACGTAATCTTAATCACGGCTTACCTAGAGTGGCTTGCGGTAGCTGATACCTTGTTAAATAATTCTTGATTAGAGAGATGCTAATTTAAAAACCGGTTTAAAGATTCAAATTGGGAAGTTTGTGGTGCGGTGATGACGCCCACACCCGTGTGTGCCTGAATTATAGCTTTGATATGGGCTGGAGGTTATTGAAGGCAGTCCAGGCATCCCACCCATTCGCCCACTAGGGTTTTTTAAAAATGTACCCATTTCATTTTCATTTGAATTCACTCTCTGCAGGGTACACATTCCATCAAGAAAGAACTTTGCTTTTATCTTCACATGGCAACTATTGTCATCATTTCAAGTTTGTTCTTTTTTTTAATATAATAATTATATTTTTGCTATATGATATCCGTTGCAATTTTGTATATCGATTCGGGTATTTATGTCTGGCGTTTAACTGTTTATTTTTTTTTTTAACACATGTGTACAGTTACCAAGTGTACGAGGAGATCGATTTTTAAGTTGTCATCATTAGTTTATAGTTTAACTTTTAAAATATTTTCAAGAAGAATTGAGAATCAAGGTTATCATGAACAACCTTATTAAGCATTTTTTAAAATAAAACAATAAAAGGAACCTGTTTTAAGTATTTTTATTTTATGTCCAGGTTTGTTTATTTTTATTATTCTCTTAAGGAACCTCTATTTCCATTTTTGTTATTATTACTTTTTCTTTTATATAAGTTTTAAATTAAGAATAATTTAAATTATTTTCTTATTTATATCAAAAAAAGTTTTGTATATATATTTATGATCAATATATTATTTAGATACTGATGAGCAGAAGGGTGTTGTGAGAAAGCAGGAAACTGGACTTCAATCACTTCAGGTAATATATTTTTAACACATGTCTTTGCTTATATGATGATTACGTAGTATGATGTAAATATGTTTAAAATATAAGAAACAGTTTATTCTCTTTGTATTCTATGGTTTTGTTTTAATTATAATTATGCTTATTCTGAAGTTTTCTAAAGAGAGAACTACAATAATAATATTACACGGCTGCTCAACAAAGTTGAGTTGCTAAACAATACAGCATACTCATCAATCAATCGATAATATTGAAAAAGATTAAAAGAGAGTTAGGTTATAAGTATTTATCAAAAAAAATAGATTTTTTTAGATTAAATTCTCATTCTTTGGAGTCATATCTTTCATAGATGGATTCCATTGGTTAGAACAGTATAATATGAAATTAAAGATTAACTTTTTAAATTTATATTATAAGAATAAAATAGTTGATAATTGAATTCTTCAAGAGGCTCCAAAAAGTAGTTATTTTTAATTTATACTAGATATATAGATGGATTACATTTTAGTAAACTTTTAATAACTTACTTAGTAAACTTCTATAATTGAGTCTTACTAGTTTTGGAAATATTTTATATATTATACAGGGAGTATAATAATGTAAGTGATGTCCTAATCTTAAGTAGAAGATAGCAGATCTAATTGCAGAGAAAAGAAAAGAGTAAATTTAAGATTTTTTTGTTTTTAAGGTTGTCACAGTTTTTTTTTTTTTATAAGTAAGTGTTAACTAAAGAACTATTTTAATATATTATATTGTGATAATGTTAACTTAATTTTTAATGTAGCAATTTTCTTTTGCTCAAGCCATTTGAAAGGAGCTCGTATTATAATATAATTTGTTTTTTATAAAATCATAGATTATTCCCGTTTTTTAAATTTATTATCAGCCTAATGGTGGACTTTAGATTATGTACATTTAGAAATGGCATGAGGCCAACTTCATGTTCTTTGTCAAAAGTGAGGAAGAAGTGAACAAAACAAAAAAAGTCTCTCTTATTAAGAATTGGAGGATATTTCAGATATATACATGTTTCATTTTCCCAATCAGATGCTTCTCCAAGCTATTCTACAAAGTTTCTGTATAGTTGGTACCTGTCTTTTTATTGGGTTAGGAGGGAAATCAGATGGTTGAGCATCATTAATTTAGTATTTAATTTTCAAGCAGGTTTCAAGTTAGAAACTACGTTATTCATAAAAATCTAAGTATATTTATGTGTAAGATGAAGGAACCTAATTTATTATGAGACTGAAAAAAACACTTCACTACTTAAATCTATATTTGTATTATATTTTGGCTGTTTGGTCATTTTGAGATGGATTGGTGATTTTATGGAGAGCTATTTCCTAATAATATTTTATTGTTGAGACCTACTGAAAATAGAGTTTTAAGTGTTTTTTTTTCTAAAGAATTCCTCATAAAAATCTTATTCTTACCAATGACAACCGTCTTTATTTTCAATTAAAATTAATTTTAATAATACCAATTTTGTTCCAGGTCCTTAGGAGCATATTGCCACAGTTAAGCCAGTCCCAAGGAGCATTGAATACTGTTGATCAAATAAATGAGAAGTAAGTATAATATAATCATTGATGGTTTTTAAAGTATTATTATTGCGTAGCAGGAAGTTTCCTATTTTTTCAATCTCATATAAGGATTAAATCTTAAACTTTTTAAAAATCAAATATTGGGTAGTAGATCTATTCCACTGGAATAACATTATTAAATAAATCAAATTTTACATAAATTAATTAAAATTATGAAAAAAAACATTGCTATCTATTAATTAGCAACACAGTTAAAATAATGCCTGATTATGGAAGTGGTACTGTATTATATTTAATTATTCTGATTTTCATGATGTTCAATCATCAAAATTTTCACAAAATGTATTAACAATTGTTTTAGGAAAGAAGAAAAACCAGCAGTACACTTGACGACTTGGGGTGAGCGACCTAAAAGACAAGTATCGATTAAGACAGACAAAGATTATGTGGTAGGAGGTACCAAAAGCGAAGCAACTGTGATATGCAGTACGAGCACTACTACCATCACTCCACCGCCACCCAGCTCAACATCTAAAAGCATCACTGTCGAGGTTGTCAGCCCTGTCACCAGGTTGGCAGTCACCTCTGAGAGTCCATCAGACAGGACCATTAACCGTTCACCACGTACCAGTGTCTACAAGTCAATGGAAACTGGAAATACTAAGGCTATCAAACTTCCTGATCTTGGCAGGATCCCAGTTGTCAGAGGTGTGGAGCTGAAGAAGCACCCTACTACTTCTGAGAGACCGCCATTGGAAAATGGATTTATGTTGAATGGGCACACTGAAAAATCATTCAGCCAGAGCCCACCTTGGCTTGCTGAGAGCCGCCAGCTACGACCACCATCATACCTGTTTGGGTGCGAGCCTAAGGTTTATTCTCCGCCTCCAGCTCCTACTCCTCCACCCATGGTCAAGCTGAAGCCTGCCTCGCAGCGGGAATTGCTCAAGCAATCTGTGGCGTCCGACCCTAGGGAGGAATTGCTTTCATCCATCAGGAACTTTGGCAAATCTTCGCTTAGGAAAGTTTCTACCAGATAATCTTATCAGACTGTTAGTTACTGTACTCCATCCGTTTATAAACATCTCCCTCAGTCATAACATTGTATATAGTTAACTTAGTTTTGAGATGTTCTATTGACAGATGTACAGTAATGAAGATAGTCCATGTCTAACTGAAATGTTATTTAATTTTTGTAAAATCGTTCATGTTAGAATTTTTAATTTTAAGAAAGAAAAATGTAAACTGATCATTGAAAATATGTCAACAGTTGTGTTAAGGGCATTCCTATTTCTAATTGAACTCAGGTTTAAGCGAATGTTCCTTAACACTATTTATAAAAGAAGTTGTATTATTATTAATATCATTAATTAGTCAGTTTTGCTGTACATTTAAAAATGGTCTAAAATGCTGACATGATTCATTTCTCGTTTTTTTTTTTTTTCATTATTGAAGCAATTATATGCCCTGACTTTTTGTTAAGTTCCATTTACTGTTTAATTATCTGAGTTTAACTTATTGTATAAATATTCTATATTATTGAATTATGATAATAATAAATAATTGATTTTCTTTTTTAAATCAGCCAAAAATAATTATTATTATTACTTACAAATTAATTCCTTTTTTTTTAAACAATATTAATCAAATTTCGTTTTGATGGAATGGGAGGATTGAAATAATTTATCATAAATTAATACAGGATTATTAGTAAATAACAAAGAACATTCCTGGTCATTAATGCATTACATGGTATGATGGGTTGGAGGTAAAAAAACGTTCATTTTTATAAAAATATTTAATTACTTTCTTGTTTGAAGCAGTTAATTTATTTTGGTATTGTGAAAAGAAAGGTATTAAAAATGACTTGTATTAAATGTTTGAACGATTCAGTAAGAGGGAAAAAAAAACATATTTTGTATTTACTGTTTAAAATTGCCTTTCACATTTTAGCTATGATAACTATAAAGAAAGACAAACAACGAATTATTTTATATGTATTAATAAAATTTTTATGGAATTTTATTTCATTTTGGAAGCGACATAGATGGTTCCAAAACTTCTATGTATGCTCCAAGTAGATTCAGTCTAACCCTCATGTTATGTACCCTTATATATATTATTTTGCCAGGGTTATGGTTGACTCATGCTCAAATATAGCCAAATTGTACATACAATTAAGAGATTAATATGTTATGTTATTCTATCGAAAATTTGCTTTAGTCAAATGTATTGGTTATGGTTTAGAGGAAAGTAAGGGATTTTTTTTGTTTCATTTTGCAAATTTTTCACTTTTTTCTAATGTTTTCGGTAGTATCTTCTATCTAGTCCAGTTCCTCTAGTCCCCCCTCTTCTGAAAATATCAACTCTAGTCTGTAAGTGTTGCATTGAGCACGTATATTGTTTATACAAATGTTTTATTTTTGCTGTTAAAAGATTTTTTTTTTTTATTGGGAGTTAATGCATACTTTTTTCTTCTAATATATTATTACATTTGATTTTCATGCTTGTTTCTTTTACTATGAAAAAAAGTCCAGTGTGGTAATTATTTTTGTTTTTCTTGCATTATTAAATAATTATAAGTCTCTTATTTTTGTAAATGAGAAAGTGAAAAACAAGTATTGAAGCAAAAAGAATTCCTAAAAACGTTAATATGCAAATATGTAATCATGTATACTGTTATAATATTAAAATATCCTGGTAGTTTCCTCTGTTCTGTTTTGTGTATATTCTTTATTTATTTTGTACATTATTTGTAAAACATATATATTTAAATAAAAGTGTACACATTTACAATCATCTTTATTTTTTATCCTGATTTTTTCTTCTTCTAATAGTTATCTGATGTTGAAATTCCAATTAGAATGATGAAATAAATTGCAGAATTTGAAACTTTTTTTGAAGGAATTGCTTCTTGAGGCATGTTTTGCACTTTTTTTGTAGAGAGTGAATTAGATTGAACCCCTCAGATCTTCAGTGTGTAATGCTCGGGTAAAGTCGGATGGAGTTGACTAATTCAAGTGTTTTTGCATATGGATCAAAATATCTCAACAACTCAAAATCGGACGTGCATTTTGTTATTGAGGGAAATGTTCATTTCATCCTCTTTGTAATGAGCTACTATTCTAAATTGTATCTTAATCCAATAACGTGTTAGGGAGACGAAATGGAAAAAATAATGTCGAAAACCAAATGATAACGAGTTTTATTGAAGATATGGATTAAAATATTTCAGAAACTAAAAATCGGACCTGCATACTATAAGCAAGGAAAATGTTCGTGATTTCATCTTCTTTGTAATGAGCTATTATTCAAAATTTTATCTTAATCTGACGTGTTAGAAAGGAAAAAAGATAGTGTTGAAGAGCAAATGATAACGGGTTTAGTTGAACATATGGATTAAAATATCTCAGAAATTGCAACTTGGATCTGCATACTTTAAGCAAGTGAAATGTTCAGCATTTCATCCTCTCTATAATGGGCTGTTATTCAAAATTGTATCTTAACACGGCGCCGTGTTGGAGAAGCGAAAAGGGAAAAAGATAGTGTAAAAAACCAAATTATAATGAGTTTTATTGAAGATATGGATTAAAATATCTCAGAAACTAAAAATGTGTAAGCGAGAGAAATATTCAGTATTTAATCTTCTTTATAATGAGCTATTATTTATAATTTATATTTCATATCATTAATTTCGTCTTGTTGATGTTTTCACTTCTATAGTGTGGTTTAAAGCACACATCTTAGTTGTTTTTTTTAATGAAAAGAGGTTAAAATAAAATTAATAAATAAATCAATTTAATATTATACAGATTTATTTTATGTATTACATTGTATAAAATATAGAATCTTATTTTGAAATTTTATTAATTTCGGTAAAAGACATAAAATGTTCAAAGAATACTGTCATCTGAGATCACTAATGTATTCTTTATCTCAGTCCACTTTCAGTTAAAAAAAGTATGAGGGATATATTTTTTTTATGTATAAAAATATTGATTAGAATTCAGCTTTATATAAAACTATCTTAAAAATAAGCTCTAGCTGTAATTGAAAATTGCATATAATACTTTAGCCTTTAGTTTTGGCTATCATATAAAATATAGTTCTATGATATGTTATTTTCATCTTTAGTTTAGGGAATTCTTACATTGTTTTAGTGAATTTGCATAAACTTGGGATACACATAACATTGTAATGTTTCGAATGTCCCTGATATCACATTTTTGATTTAAAGCTATTCTAACAATTAATAAATATCATAAAAACATATATTTTGGACGGTTTGTTAGGAAGAAAACATATAATCTTACACTATGTTATCCGATTTTACATCAGCTGTAGATTTACTTTTATTTTTTTCGTAATGTTTTTGTATATCTTCTAGTGGCCGGCCTTCTGTCTCAGGCATCATAAAATATAGGAAGAAAAATCCGATGAATGACATTGTTGAGTAAAACATGAATAATCCGCGAAGTCCAAAAAGCTCTTCTAGACTCTGAAATGATTTGGTTGCAGTGAAGCTAATTAGGTAGGAGGAAGCTGCTGAGAGACCACTTGCCATGCTCCTTCCTCTGAAAAAATATTTATCGAAATAAGTATGACAAAATTTGGTAAAGTAGAAAATAAAGGGCAAGGCTATTTAAGTTAAAACTCCGATACCATTACGAGGAAGGAGAGTTTGATTTATTTTTTTATGGAAATTACAAAACCAATCTTCAAATTCTTTGTCAATCTACAATTTTTAATGTGTATTTAAACCACTGTATTTTATTAATGTGAGCACATTAGGATGTTACACTATGAACAACAAAAATTAAATTTGATCTCTCTCAAAAAAAAAAAAAAAAAAATTGTTTTCCCTTAACCTTAGTTGAACTTATAAGCGAAAACAAAGCATTCTCGGTGTAAATGTAAGGTACAAATAATAAAAGCACTGTTTTTAAATTTGACCTGTGGGTAGGGTGGGAGAAGAAATAAAATATAATGAAGAAAGGTCAAGAATGTAAGCATATGAAAAATTAGTTAATTTTTTTTTAGTTGTAATATACTTGCTACCATCACTTGAAACTTTTACAGAACTTTTCAAAGAAGTTCCATTTACGTAAATTATTATAAAAGTTGAACTTGATATGATTTTGCTTGAATTAACTCTCTGATTTTTGAATGAATTATTTGAGAGCTGTGCAATATCAAAAAAATTTCTAATTTACATTTCTTAAATAGAACTCCTTTAAAAGCATGTGTAGATTAGTTCCATAGAAAAACTGTTCTAGTTCAAAAAGAATAGAAAAACAGTTATTTCAACAAAAAGTCAACTTCAGTATTTTTTAGCTGTTTATTATCTGTTATCCCCATCTAGTATTTTTTGTAAAAAAAGAACTGCACAGCAGATAATTTACTATAACCTGTATGTAATCTTGTTGGTATATTACTGAGCTGTAACTCAGGCATTGAATAAAATAAATATTGATTCAAAACGATGAAAGTATTGAATTGAGCTAAGATACTCAGTTATATCAGATAGTGTGGAAAACGATAGTGAACAGATAATTGACTTGAAATTGGATCCATAAGTCAAATGGAGAATTAAGATTGCTGTTAGAAAAATAGAAGTCCGAAAGCTATTTTTGATAGGTTTGTGTAAAAGACGGTAGGATACTAATATCCATAGCACAATAGGATCCATAGCCAATAAAGACATATGTAGAAGTACTTTTCTCAAAATATATTAAGTAATTTGTTAAGTTCAGTATTATTGATGACCTATGTTTATTTCATGTCTCATACGAGTTTCTGTTTTTCATTTTGGGGCGAGACATGATTACCTTCTTGAGTCTCATAAGCAGGATCTGGATTTTTACGCAATTGCATATTTTATTTGCAAGCAGTTTTTAAACTGGTGATCTAATATCTATATGAATCAGTGTACCCAGATGCAATTAGTCAAATTTCCTAATGCATATTTGATGATAAATGTATATTTGGAATATTTCAAATAAAATGTTATAATAATAATTAGAAATAATGAATTAAAATGGAACATTGAAGATGAAATTATATAATGCAATTGTTGGTTGATTTTCAACCTTAAAATAACAATAAAATATCTCTATCGTCATGTATTAACTTTTTAGAATATGGATTTTTTCATTTTCTGGCCTGTTATACATCCTTCCCATTCCTTGTAACTTTTAAACACCAGACTGCAGTTATATTTTTTATAATTTTAATTGCTTTTCAATTTCTTCAAAATTGAAACACTGAATAAATCCTAATGATTCAAAACATGAAAAAAAAAAGATTAAAAACCATTGAAAGGTTCACTTTTTCTTCTATTGTTCAAAACAAGTTTCTATTGGGAACAACAAGTCAAAATTTTAAGTGGATACAACATTTCATTCATGTCTTTTGTAGAATGATTATTTAATTATTATAAAAATATTTCAAATGATAGAAGATTAGGTTTTCATAAACAAATTTATTTATAAATTTTGGTCTGATCACATCTCTTACTAATTCCTAATTGACATTTTATTTGTTTTGTTTATGCTTTCAATTCATTTATTAGTTTAAAATATTCCAAGTTTTCTTTTATTACTAATTTGTTGGGTCGTGATTCATAGTAATAAAAAAGTATTTTACATTATATTTTTAATCATTAATAAATATATATTTATATTTCTTGGTTTTTAGTAATCACATTACATTTTAACTATTTCCATTTATAAAAAAAAAATAATAATTTTATATAATTTTTAATCCTTCCTATATATATAAAGTTTAAAACATTTTGGGAGCACATTAGTGAAGTTGAATATTTTAGACGTTTTATTGTATATTTAGAGATTTCTTCAATGCATATTTTATGTTTTAAAACTGCATATTTGACAATTTTTGTTGCATATTAAATGACATATTTTGTGAGTTTTTACTGAATAAAAATCCAGGCCGTGCTCATAAAGGATGATAACTTAATAAGTTTTAAGTTTCCATTCATTTAATTTATTTCACTTGAAATTAAGTTTTTTGTTAGTTTAATAGCCTTTTAAAATGATTTAATTTAAATTTGAAGTTATTATGAATCTTTTAATAATTATTTACTGTTTGTATAAATTATTACAAAAATCACCTTCATTACCTGAATGGAAAAACTTCACTAACGAGACCCCAGACCAAACCTTGCGCTCCGTAGCTAGTTGAGAAAGCTAGAGCCATATAAGAGAAAAAAGAGATCCAAGGGTGTGAGATAAAACAGAGAGAACTGGCTGCTGTCCCAGCTACGAGCATCGAGAACAGAGCTATTGGTCTTTTCTTAAACTTCGCTACTGTTAGCATACAAGATACTGAACCTGCGAATCCAACAGTTCCAAACACAACCTGTAAATTTTTATAACATAATTTTTAGAAATGGTTAAGTAGTCGACTGATCAATTATAAGGATGAAACAAAATTAAAATTGTCAGGAATTTCAGTCACAATTTTTTTATTAGTGAGTTAGCCAACGTTTCGATCCAAACATGTCGGTCATTGTGAGGGCTAATATTTGGAAGTTGAGACAAGAACTTAGAGTTCTGATTATGAATCACCAGTTTGCGTTGCAACGTTAGCTAACCTGATAATAATAAAAATGTGACTGAAATTCTTGAAAATTTCAATTTTGTTATCTGATTGGTTGATTTTAATATTTTTACCGTTGCTTTATAAGCTTCCAATGGCATGTTGTAGTCTCTTGCTATCAGGACCATGTAAGGCCTAGTGGCAGTAATTCCTGTAAAGTTGGCAAAGACAAAAAAACCCACAATTAATCCCAAAGGTTTCAGCATACTAGGACGTAAAAAGTCTTTTATTTTTTCTTTCATTGTCAATTCCTCAAATTCTTTTTCTGTTTGCTAAAACATGAAAATAAAATTCAAAATTTTGTATCATCATAATTTTAGATAATTTTTTATTATTACATTTTGTATCCTATAAAAGATTTTTACGCACCTGGCCTACTGTATCATCATCTCCAGTGAATGCAGGATTAACAACACCCTTGATTTTTCTAAGTTTAGTTCTTTCTGTGTACCTTGTGAGTTCATCAAACTCCTTCTTCACGTGTTCTGGGGTCACCTAACAGAAAGATAAAATATTAAAATCTGAAAAGTTATATATATTCTCTTGACAATATTATAAAATAATAATTTAGCAGTAGTTATATTGACAGCCATGATGATTTTAGAAACATGTTAAAATAGGAATAGTTGAACTTGAGTATTGTATCATAACTAGATCATTTGAAGTCCAGATCAGATTAATTTTTTAGGCTCCCTGAGATAAAAAAATAAAACTTACAATATTTTAAGAAATATAACATTCTTATCTAATTAGAGGAGTTTGAATCGGACCACCACCTCTGTCCTCTTTCAAAGTAGGCCCCTGCTTGATTATATTTGACAAATTCATTAACAAAAAATAATTTTCTACAAAATTTCAGAATTACTATGATAATCTACATAATAATAATAATATAAACTACTAAATGATTTTATTTTTTATTTTTATTGTAAATTTTTTTATTCTTTATTTATTTATTCAAATTTACAACTGTAATAAATAAATACAACTAGAAATATGAGCAAATCAAGAGTAATGACATGAACAGACTTATGGAGACACTACCCAAAGATAGCATTCCCTAAATAGTTCTAATTAAGAAGATCATGCGGCCATCTTCTTTTCTTAAGCCTAAGAGGATTGCCAGGAATTGAAAAAGAAGCAAGGCTGGAAACAATCCCTCAATTCGGATGGGACTGCAGTTTTATATGAAGGGATATATATTTAGCTTGGACTAAGTCAGTGAGTGGCATATGGAACATTAAGGTATTTATGAATGGTTTTATTTGTGACAAAATATGGGGCATTAAAGATTTGCAAAAATTTATAATGGCAAAGATGGTAAAAATGGCCTAAAACTTAAGTAAAAATGTCATCACACATAAAAAAAAGTTTATTTTTGTTGTAATTTTTTTTTTATTTATTTATTAAAATTTATAACTGAACTAAATAAATACAAGTAATAAATATTTTCTTCTTGGCCACATTCTGCCTTCCTCTGCACTCTTGAACCTATTTTTTGAACTATACATTTTTTTTTAAATTCAGGTAGTGTCTACAAATCATTTCTTAGAAGAAATTTGTATTTATATTCGGGCATCAAGTATATCTTAAGTTAATTATTAAGATGAAAAATGCAAAAAAAAAAAAAAAAATCGTAAATTTAAGAAAAGCATATTTTTTAACTATGAATGTGGAATTACAAAAAAAAAAACCTGTACCACCACAACTCATGAAGGTTCCTGTGTTCTATGTAGTACTGTGTTGGGAAGTACTGTTTCTTGGCCAACGGCTGTACAATGAGATGATTTGACCAAGATCACCCTCAACCGCCAGGTTTTTTCCTTGATTAATTAATGAAGAGTACACACTTTATACAGTCTGGGTGTGTCCCAGGAAGGTCTCACGACCCTAGGATCACCCATGACCAATGAAACAGAATAAATAATTTATCTGTTATCAGCCAGATTTGAACCTGGGATCTTGAGCTCTTGAAGATAGTGCCGAACACTCCTTGGAATTACAGAAAAGAGAATATAAATTTCATAAAACTGAAAAGCAACAATTTGCTGCCATTTTGAGCACATAAATAAAAATAAAATAGACTATGCACTCAGAGCTTTAGATTGTGAAAGAAAAAAAAGTATAATCTCATCATTCCAATCATTTGTGTTTTGGACCATACTCCTAAACTTTTCTTCCGGGAGAAGTAACGTAATAATATGTAACATTTTGTGAATTAACCTAAAATGCTAATAAGTACCATTAATAAATAATAAATCTTACCCATCCTCTCAACCAGCAGAGAGCATTTTCAGCCTCTTTGAGCCTTCCTCTAGACATTAACCATACAGGTGTTTCCGGAACCTGAAAAACAAATTTGCAACAGTTAATTATTTAAATAATATTCTGTATATTATTTCAACCAATAATCCATATTACTTAACTTAATTTATAAGTAAGACAAATGAAATCTATTTGATTGAAAATTACAACTATAGATATACAACTACACAACTAAATTACATAAAGTTTCCTCATCTTTGATTTCTTGAAAAACAATCGATTTATAAGCCTTAATGTAAGCTGAAAATGTAAATTTTAATAAAGAAAACTTATGAAAAGGTTTTACACTTAGATACATTTTAAGGCAGTTGAAAATGTAAAATTTGTATGATTTTGGTATGATGACAGAAAAGTCGTAAACTCGGTGTATTTGTAAAAATCTATTGATTGTTTATTTATTATTGAATAATAATAATTAAAATACACTATTATTATTGAATTTTCTTAAGATTGTTTGAAGGTATGAGTATTTGTAAAATTAATGAACCATAAACAGTTCAGTTTTCAATCATGTTCTGAATTCTTATAATGTTGATAATATCCTAATGGTTGAAGATGCAGTTGTATTAATGAGATTCATAAATAAAAGTATCATAAACAAAACATTTTACATTAGAGAATATAATTTGAAATATCTTCCTTTTCAGACCCAAGCTAATAAAACATAGGACAAGATACCATGATCTCATCATAAATGGAATCCCAAGAATGGCCGAGTGTAGATGGAGGTGACCAAACTGTCTAGTAAGGCTCCGACCTTATCTGAAAATTTACCGATCGAGGGCTGGTTTATCCCTTTCAAAACTGAATTTGAAAAGGAGGAATTTCAAAACTTTATATTTTTTGTACCTAGTTGTATTTATCTTAATATTTTTTGTATATCGCTATATGCCTGATAGATTTTTTTAAACTTTGCTATTATTCTAAGTGGATTTTGGTCCAAGAAAAAAATTATTTTTCATTTCATTTACATTTTTAGAACTTTTTCAGCTAAAAATAAATAATGTTAGAATAAGTGAATTTTTTTTTTGATTTCTTAGTGTGTACAACCTCAAATAAAAATACAACGTTAAGCGGTTTTATTTTATAGATTTTATTTATTCATGCAGCTTATTTATTATTAATTTTAATTTTTTTAACCTCAAATTATTGGGGGAGGGCAGAACGATCGCCTGTAGTTACTAGATCAAAATTAATTTATGTTTTAAATGTGTTTTATCAATAACTCTGTTTTGCAGAGGCAAATAATATTTTGTAACTTTTTAGTTTAATTCCTATTGGTAACTATTTAAAATGCATAATTTTATATAAGCCATAATTTTGAATATTTAGGCAACCTCTTGCACTTTATATCAACACATGTTTGGCTTGAAAAATAATCATTTTGTATAATGTATGCTGATAATTATTTTAAAATAAACATTTTTCATATTATTAAATATTTATAAATTGAAAAATTATCTATTTCGGCCTCGAATAATGTCCAATTTCATTCATGACACCTTTTATTCTTTTTCAGATCTGTTGTATTTACCTATAATTGAATAAGTACAGCACAGAAAACGAATAGGGTCTTATTTCACAAACTATGGAGTTGTTCTTTGAACTATTTTTTTTTTTTAACAGTTCTTAAGAACTGTTCTTCCTTGTTTAGGAACAGTTCATTTACGTTTTTCAATTAATTGCAGAAATGCTCACCACTAATTTTAATTGTTAAAGACCGGTTGTAGTCTTCAGCGGTTTGAATAAGAAGTTATATAACATGAAAATGTTGTGATTCTTCGACCATTTTCGGGATCCCAGTTATATCGTAATCACGAAATTTTGGCCCAATTTTCAAAGTGGAGTGACACTTGTAAAGTTGTAGCTCCCAAAAACTGCAAATGTACCTGACTTATGGCGAGAATAGTGACGATAGGGACGGCAAGGCAAATGGCAGCGGCTATCCTCCAGGTGACCAGGGTGCCCAAGATGAAGATGAAGTTCATACCGAAGGACGCGAAGAGGTTAGCGTAAGAGGTGAGTGTTCCTCGGAGGCGTGGTTGGGCGATCTCCCCGACGTAGGTGATGATTGGGGCTTCCATGAATCCAACACCTTAAAAATACATATATATTAATTCCAGCATCAATTATATTATAATTAATGATATAACGATATAACTTCTTATATTAACAGATCTTAGAAAAGTTCATCGTTTTTATCATATCAGCTAATAAATGCTTAATAATAAAATGAGATACATAGATGAAAGAGTCAAACATTTAAAAAAAAAAAATTCGACAGTAAGGTAAATGTAGAGGCAGTATACACTGTAACAGACATTTTAAATATTAATGTGAGCCATAGCTTTAGTTTTAATGTTTCTTTATAAATGGATTTAACTGACAGCAAATTTAGCGTTTTATTGGATTTTTTATACAGTGAATTAGCTCATTATTCATGGAAATCTTAAGATATTCTGATAGCGTATGATTGTCTGGCGTATATTGCTCCCATTAATTGATACTCAAGTTTTGGGATCTATAGATTTTTTATATAATTAAAAAACACAAAACTGATTTCACAAAGTTTTAAACTAAGGAATGACATACTACAGATGGATGAATCAAAATTTCAAACCCATCTCATAAAGAAAAGTGATAAAGAAACCTTCTTGAAACAAACATCTGTTCTTGCTCCGTTCAAAAATGAACTACCAATCGGCTATTGTAGCATGACATAATTTTAACTTGGCATAGTTCAAGCATCGCCCTCGTAATTGTTTTAATGACGAATCTACTCATATTTGTACTCTGTTTTAGGCATATAAAGCATATTATTTGTTATTGAGTTGAAAACTGTCTCTTACTATTACAATATCTGTTACTGGTACATTTACCTTATACAAAATCTTATAAACTGAATAAATAAAGTCATTGTTACACTAGTGACTGATTCACGGGAAGGAAAAAAAAGGGGAAATTTTCTTATTTTAAAATAACAACCGAGAAAAACAAAATATGCCAGTTTAAAATATTCCTACCAGTACCCAATACTTGTGAATAAATTATCATTCATTACTTAAGGAAAAACAAAAAAATTGAATCCTCCCGTGAGAACTCTATCCATGTTGATACATAAGTGGAATTAATTAATTTAGGTAATTATTCAAGTCTTAAAATCAAGATATGATCTGGTTAAGTAATTAATTCATTACAATTTAACTCGTAAAAAAGGTACTGAGCAGGAAGAAGGACATACGACCTCTGTCCTCTACTAACAGGTGAAGTCATACCTCTACTTCACTCCTTTCCAAGGACGCTGGTCTGATTGGTCCTTTTCTTTTCGTTAGGAGGCTTTTTGGACTCTCGTAACTATTTAAACTGGACACATCCTTAAGGGACCAGGAATAACAAGTTAATAGGCTTCTTAGAAATCTCTCCAGGTGTGTTTCCTTAGCTCAATTTTATTTTGATGGACCCATGTCACTGAATAAATTCTTTATTCAGAGAAGAATATCATTTAATTTAGTTTGCTTAGAAATTTCTTTGAACCGCGATATCTGGCTTGGAACTGTTTCAACAGACTGGAGACTAATCCGCTTTGCACTATTTGTACAAACTCTCAATTAATGGTTGATGTGGATTTCTTCATGATATAACCTTTTTTCTGGCAGAAGGAACCTCTTCTGCTCTAACCACTTGTTCAGTGTCTGTATAATTTTTTTTTTTATTTAATGAAATTTACAACTGTGTACAAATACATCTAGTAAATATGCAAAAATTATAAACAATGGCATGAACAGGCTTGAAGAGATACTACCTAGTGGTAGCACTCCCTAAATAATTCTAAGTAAGAAGATCACGAGGTCATCTCCTTTTCAGTCGCCTAGGAGGATTATCAGGAATCGAGGAAGAAGCAAAGGTGGAAACAAGGGGATTTGGATGGGACTGGAGTTTATCATGAAATGATAGATATCTGGCTTGGGCTAAATCAGCGACTTAGCTTTATTATAATCTTAAATTTAAAACTCATTATTCGATTATTGATACCTAGCATATCTAACCGAAGTAATTGTACTAGTAGTAATTTTGATGTTTGCTTTTCTTTCTTTTTCACACTTGTCTACTAATGGGATGATATTCACCTTTGGCTAGTTTATGAGGGTTAGCTGGAATATGCCATGATAGAATTGCTTTATAAGACGGGAGATTTTCCCTGAAGCTCTCACATCGCTAATATCTGATAGAGAATGGCTTTGTAATGGAATACTTCATGGATGGAAATACTTCATTGATGAATTTCTACTCCAATCCTTAAGAGTTATAAAATCTTTCTATATTCTTGATCTCCTCACACTATGTTCCTCCATTTATTTATTGAATACAAGAACTAATATCGACTTGCTCAAATTTTATATCTTTCATATCAACTTCTTTGGTTCATTTTTAATTATTTCAATTTTCATATTACATACAGCTTCGATTTGTATATATTTGTAAACACAACATTTAATCGTTCCAGTTTCTCTCATGCAATTTCTGCTGTATTTATACTGATTCATCGTTTATTTTATCGTTGTAGATTGTTTTCTTTTGTCCTTATGGTCTACCGCGTAGACCGAAAAGTCAACACGCATTTGTTTATGTTATTATTATTGTTTATGAAATTTACAACTGTACATTTAATATACATTCAGCAAATGTGATACAGATAAATACATGACCTGACAAGATTTGTAGAGAATCTACCCTTTGGTAGCACTCTAATAATGTTTCTAAATTAATAGATTACGAGGCCATCTTATTTTCAGACTCCTAGAAGGGTTATCAGGAATCGAGGAGGAAGCAAGGTTAGAAACGAGAGGATTAGGATGATTATAAATTTTATTATGGAAGGATAGGTGTCTGGATTGGGCCAAATCGGAAACATATGGAACATTCAGGTCATTATGGATTATTTTATTTGTTACAAAGTAAGGAGCATTAAGGATTTTACGAAGTATATTGGATTGTAAAGATTGGATACGAGAGGAAGTCGATGGCTTAGTGGAGTCCAAATATGTACTCTGTAAGTCTTATTATGGTCATGTATATGTGTCTTTTGTAATTAATTGAAAGGTTAGAGCGTTTGTCTAGTAAGTGCTGAAGTAGTCGGAAACGTCGAGCGGTTTCTTGTCGTTTCAGTCTGGTATGAGGATTTGACACACATTGGCTATAATATCATATTTACCGTATGTTTTCTTTCTAGACCTTTCCATCGCGCTTCCCATTCCAACCTAAGTTTTCTTGAAATAGTTTATAATCGGAACTTACCAAGTCCCATAATGATTGCTGCAGAGTACAGCGTTACTTTGTTGGCAGCTGTGTAAAGGAGGAACCATCCCAGCAGATGGGGCAAGTTGACGACCATCATGGCGTACTTCCGTCCAAGAGGCTCCAAGATGACGCCAGAGAGCACGCTGCCGAGGGGTTGGCACAAGAACAGGATGCTACCTGTAGGTAACGCATATATTTATCAGAAATTAATAAATACATAAAAAGAATACTACAACTTATAACATAATGGTTTGTTATTAACAACAAATTATACATAAAAAGTAACACTACTTTCCTTATAACATAAAGAAAAATAAATAAAACGTGATTCCTAGTATTAATAATATTTATTGTAAATGTAACTCTTTAAAAAAACAAAACAAAAAAAAAACAAAGGATATAAGCTTTGCAGTAGAACTAAAAAAATGCAAAATGTTTGGAACACCATATCTCTGCACCAAATTATCCGATCTCAAGATTTTTTGTTTTTAATTTTTAGTAAATTTCTTAAACTTGCTAACAACCATAACAATATCAACGAAAAAGCCGAAATAACCAGCTTATTTTCGTAGAATTATGTTATATTGCTATATTTTAAGGTTTTCAAAAGAGAGGACTTCAAAAGTTATATTGAAATCGGTAAATTTGTTTAGACGATACAATCAATACGAGAAAATCTTTTGGTTTTCAAATCAATTTTTTTTGTAAATTTATTAGATAATAAAATGTCACTTTATTGTTATCATGTCTATCAATGGAAGCTGTTTCCGTAGCGCCGTAAATATTTACGACTATCATAAAGTTTGATAAGAATGTAACAAGATATTCGATCCATTTTTATGAGTTTTTCACAGCAATAAACAAGAAATTTACTTTGCAATAAAATAAACATATTGTGTTATAATTGAAAAAGTTCTTATCTTACCCAAAGTGGCTTTGTTCAAAAGATTTGTTATTAAAATTTTGTATATTTATTGAGTAATATTACATTTTTTCACTAATAAGGACATTAGTAATAGTGATAGAGTTGTTCATTCACACTCTATATACAATAAATAAAAATAAATTAAACAGCATAATAATAATAATACTAAAAATAAATATAATCTAAATTAAACTAAACTTATCACAATAACAACTTAAATACAGGCATACTTTCATATAATATTTTAAAAATTCATTCAATCAGGAGAACACCGAGCCAAGCCTTTCTCCCGTTAAAGTCTCTCGGTGAAGGAAAAGCAGGACTCTAGGAGATCCCAGCGTATTAATGTTCAAAAGTAAATTAGAATTCTCTTGCTGTTTTATGTTCAAAATTGTATGCAACTTCGGTGATGTTTTCTTTTTTGTTTATGTTTACCTCGGTACAGATTTTATAGAGAATTATCTTGAAAATGAATATCTATATGGTTTTAGGAAACTTACAGTTTTCGACATAATCGAAAAAAAAAATTAATGGTTTTGATGTGAAAAGCATAGTTTTTGAAAACATAGATATTATCCATTATACACAATTAAACATAGAATACATTAAACCGTATTTTTTCTAATAGTGATTCGACTTTATATATTTAATAAGTTGTTTTAAAGTCATCTTTTATTTTATTCTCTATTATCATTTTTTGAGAAATAAGTTTTTTTTTGTCATTGTTTATCACATTTTATTGAACACTGCCTGTTGATGGAAATATTTTCTAGTCATATCATTCAGGTTCGGTGCCATTTCTTCATAGGTTAATTTAATCATAAAATATTAGGCCAAAGGTCACCAAATGTACACAGTTTTTACATCCTGTATTTATTTGAGGTTTCGGCTTCAGGAGCCATTTTCAAGATCCTGCAAACTAATTTTAATTCACTTTTTATTGTTCAAAATACATCCTTATTAGACACATATTAATTTACCAACTATCAATAATACATAATAGTAAAAAGTATGTACATTTGGTGACCTTTGGCCTAATATTTTACAAAAAAATTATAAATAAATATTATTATTATCGTCGGTAAATTGTTTAATTTTATTATCAAAGTTTTAAGGTTAATTTCGTTAGCATTAAATGTATGTATTAATGGTGAACTTCTGTATAGATAAATTCTGTGCCAATTATGGTTTTTTTTCTCGAGCAAAAATCATCATATGATGCCACTTCATGTTTCTAATTACATTCACTGAATTTAATTTTTTGTTTAAATGAGTACACCATAATGATAATAATGGTTACATATATTAAAATAAAATACACAAAAACATTTTTTTGGAGGCGCCGGGTATCGATCCCGGTACCTCTCGCATGCTAAGCGAGCGCTCTACCATCTGAGCTACGCCCCCTGATATTTGAACTTTCGAAAGTTGTAAATATTGAAACCAAATATTTGTATCAGGTATCTTGTAGTTGCTTGGCCCAGGAGTTGTATAGGCAGCCCGCACAACCTCCGAGGTCGTTTGAAGAGTTTGTTATCACAACTGAGATTTCGATGGGCTCTGGTAGCTTTGGGACAAATCTGTTCCTAGTTTTATTTCTGTAAAAGTTATTTTTAATCCAAAAAATGTTAATGAGATATTAGTCTTATTATATAAGTCCTTCAGTTTAATGAAATGGTGGGTAGGTCCTAGTCTATAACTTACGTGATTTCGATGTGATCAGGTAGCATTGGGATGAAGCTGTTCCTAGCTTTATTTCAGTCAAAGTTATTTATTCTCCAAGAAAAGATTTTTAAATTCCTCGAAATTTTTTTTTTCAATATTTCGTTGGTTAACATATATATTATATCTGTACTTCCTTGCTACCTTTCTATATCAAGCCATCAGAACTCATCGACCTTCCTATATTTTTCACAGCCTACGATTTAAATATTCCATTCAATCACGTCCTACTTGATTCCGTACTTCTGACCTCTATCCACCTCCTCACCGAACTGCTGCGTTTGACAAATCCTTTATAATTCAAGCCGTCTCCATCTGGAATAGCATCCCTCCCGATATCCGACATGCGCAATCAGTTTCCTCATTTAAATCTGTCCTTTTTAAGCACCTACTTCTTTCCCAACCCGATTGATCATGAAAAGTAGAGAACTTAAGTTCCCCCAGAAATGGTTTTGTTTAATTATGTTATTTTATTTTCACATGTTTGTATTGTATATATCGGTATGTATTTAGTGTTTTTGTTTTATTTTTCTTCCAATATTTTTATTTAATGAGAATTGTAAATATTTATTTTAATTTTATGGCCACACAGGCATTTCCTCGGTATCTATAATTTGTTCTAAAGGGACAAAAGTCCCATGATAATAAAAATCTATTTTCATTTCATTTCAAATAAGATTTTGAAAGCCGAGAAAGAGTGAAACAGAAAATGTCAGAGAGAAAACACGGAGCAGCAGAAAGTAAAATTGCGAAGTAAGATTAGTGGATGCCCGATCTAGCCTTGGGTTCCGAACTGGAAGGGAGCAGTGCGGATTAGGGATGAATGGGTGTAAAAATTGCAAAAGGTCTCCTTGGGGGACCATAGAAAAAGAAGGAGAATTTAAACTAATTATATTTGAGCTATAGATATAATTTAGTTGTTTATGATTGACATATTAATGTAAAAATAAATGCTCATGCAAATACTTAAGCACTTACTGAACCAAGAAGCCTCCTCTGGGGTGAAAGACAAGCCCTTGGGATCATTGCCCCCTCTCAGGGCGGGTATCACAATCGTTGAGAAGGCTATCGTCATTCCGAGGTCTAGCAGCAGCATATTTTTCGCTGTGCTCGCCAGAACCTAAAGAAAATTAAAATTCATAAATTATACTAAAAAATAATAAAATATAAAATGAAGGCTACACTATCAATCTTTGTGTCATGGGATCTGATTTTATATAAAATTGATATTTTGTATCATAATTGTTTTAATTAGTTATACCATATTCTCGATTCTCCGACCTGATCGATAAATCATGGACTTTCAGCCATTTCCATGAAATTTCTTGGTTCTTGAGGAATCGGTATTTTCAATTCTAAACTTCTAAAATAAAATTATAATTCCCAAAGAGTAATTAATAATTCTTAAAAAAAGAAACATAAGTTAACGTTTGAATATTACTCTGCGTAATCCTCATATGTATAGGTGGGAGACTTATATCTTAACCCAGGTCCACTTAATAAAAACCTAGAATGCAAGCTCTGCTCCTAGCAGAGAAATTATTGAGAAGAATATGGGGCAGAATTTCTTAGAATGAAATTTAGAGAAGAAGAAAGAATGAGGAGCTGTGAGAACTGTATGGAGAATCTGATATTGTAGCTCTGATAAAAAGAGCCCGGATAAGATGGATAGGTCATGTGTAAAGAATTCCCGACCAAAGAATGTTAAAGAGGATGCTCTATGAGAAGACGAATGGCAAAAGAAGTAAAGGACGCCCTCGGATCAGATGGTTGGAGGATGTGGAGAACGATCTAAGGTGGCAAGGCGTTCGAAGATGGAAGGAAGTAGCACAAGACCGTGGGGATTGGTTGGCTGTAGTTGAGGAGGCCCGGGTTCTTGCAGGACCATAGCGCTATAATAATAATAACACTCTTACTTTTATCATAGTGGACACACAATGAACATAGTACATAACGAATGATAATAATAATTATATTCCCATTGAGCATATTAAATGTGCCAATTAGTGATGTAATGTATTGACGATGCTCATACACCAAACAGGACACAATTGACTCTTATCAAGGTTTAAGAAAGATTAATAGTTTTCGGCAAAAGGCCCCGTTCTCATATACCCGTTTTAATATTTTTTATTATTATTATTTTTTTTTTTTATTGAATATTATAACAATCTGTCTGTTGGACATTGGTTATAGTGAGGTAGGATGACATTCACACTATATGTACAAAAAAGTAAAATAAATAGAACAAAATAATAATCAAAAGTATATACAATAGACAATAAAATAACCTAAAAAATAAGAAATTTAAAACTAAGAAAAAAAAAACACATGCATACCTATATACAATCAGGCGAGGGAACTCTAGGAGAACCCTGCGCTACTCTCCCAACCGCGTCACTGGTACTAAAGCCAGCGGAGATTGGTCGAGAGCACTTTAGCCACATACACTCATGTCTTGAGTGAAGAATCTGGCCATTGCCAGAACTCCAATTTATACAATCTACAAAAGGTCGCGAGGCCACTGCCGTTTCAACCTTCTTGGAGGATTATAGGGATGGGAGGTGCTTGATAGGGATTGTGCAAGAGGATTTGGGTGGTAAGTAAGGTTCTGGTGAAATTTGGAGAATTTTTCTGAGATAAGGTCTAGGACCAATGGAATGTTGAGGTCATGATGTAGGGTTTTGTTGGTTACATAGAAAGGAGCATCGACTATTGTTCGAAGGACTTTAGACTGGAAGGATTGAATGCGCTTGATGTTAGAAAATTTTGCTGATCCCCACAGTTCTAGTCCGTAAGTCCAAATAGGTTTCAGTATTGTCTTGTAGATCAGTAGCTTGTTTTCAATGGAAAGCTTAGATTTTCTGCTTAGTAGTCGGTATAGTTGGCCGTATCGTCGGTTGAGTTCTTGTCTTTTGAGTCTAGTATGCGGGTTCCAAGTTAGTCTTCGGTCTAAATGAAAGCCAAGATATCGGACTGTGTCTGAGTAAGGAAGCTGGTTGGAATTAAAGAGTACTGGTGGACAGGAATTGCGTCGGAGTGTAAAGGTAATATGTTGGCATTTAAATTCATTAACCTTTTCAATATTAAAGACTAAAAATACCAATTGTTAACGACTTTCACTTTTTTCCTCAGACCTCTTTCATTTCTCCTTCCATCCAAAGCATGCCTGGGTATATTTAACTCTACGGTCCTCAAGACAAATCACTCTCGAGTAACTAACTACATTCTTGTAGTCACCCAAGAGTGTGCAAGTAAGAACTGGGAGAACTAAGTTCATGACCTTGTTGTCTTACTCTTGTTGTAGATCTGGAATGGACACTTATTGTCGACACACATAGCGACTGAAGTTTACGCTTTTTTTTCAGCAATATTTATTTAAGGCTTCAGATATTTTTAAAAATTCCTTATTCGGAGAGATATGACTTTATTTAAGATTTTTTCCTCATTGCCTCAAGAATTTCATGTATTTGCTGATATCTCTTTTTAATTTACCTTTCTGGTATGAATGAGGCAAATCTGAAAGATATGGACCACTGTCGTTTTCTCTCTACAACTCCGACAAACGTTTTCTTTAGTAATTAAGTGAAGTTGCATAAGCTTGTTATTTCCTATTCTTAGTCACTTAAGTACAGCTTTCTCTCTGTGTTTACTGTGTTTCTTTGGAGGTCTGTTGTCCCACAGAGTCTGCCAATCGTGGTATATGGCCTCTTTTAGTGGACGCGCTAATTCGGACGCAGTTAAGAAGGCTTTACTACCTTAGATCGTCCTCTTTGTCATAGATGGATAATAATACAACTAGATCAAATCGCGTTCGATGAGTCTCAGCCTTCAAGCTTTTGAAATTCTTGTTCTAACCAGTAAAAAAAAGTTAAATATTTTCTACGTGCTTAGAATTTTGTAAGTATCTTTAGCAATGTGTAATTATATTTTTAAATTGTTGGAATAGTATTTGTATGCTGTTAAAAATATACCATGGGACGCGTATCACACAACTTTCACTAACCACACTGAGTAGAAATTAATTTAAAAACCATCAATGACCTTACATACTTTTTTAACGACGAACATACTTAAATGAACGACAGTTATTATCAAATAAAATACTTGTTGTATGTAAAATATTACACCTTAGTTCATCCAATTTCACAATATTTGTCAACAAAAAATATTCGATGTTTAATAACGGCTCGAAGTGAATAAATAAATTCAAGGTTTTTTAAACGAATCATTGTGTAAACAAATAAAAATAAGTATAGAATTAGGGACCATTCTTTTACATACAGCAAATATATTGGAGGCTCGCAATACATTATGCAGCAGATGATTTGTAAAAACGTAGTTTGTAACCTTGACACGCTACCGTAACGACTTTAAATAACACAAAAGAAATGTTCGAAAGAGAATGAATGTATATGTATACTTTGATAAACATAACATCCTTCTTTTCATGTAATTGGAATTGGAATGTCTGTTTTGGTTTCTATAATCCAAGGTTCATTTTAGGATATCCATTTCTTATTTATTTATAGTTTATTATTTACAGCGATTCTCTAAAGATTGAGGATCAAATTATCTTTATCCCTTTCTACTCCTTTACAAAACTACAAAAAACAATTTTCTTTCCAGGACTAAATTTACAATATGAAATGTGTACAAAAACACACTACTTCTTTGATATCGGAAAAACACCGCTGTAAATAACATAATAAGTTTGAAGAACTGAAAAATCAGGTTGAGAATGACGATAGCGAGAAAACTCTCTGAAGAAACGGTTATTGAATTAGTAATTGGTGGCGAGTAATTAGTGATAGATGACGATGGAAATGAAGATTTCTCGGCCAAAAATAGCGGTGCAAAAGACTTTCTTCAGCAGGATGAAGGTTTGGAATAGATGAAACTAAAAGGAAAAATCACGCCTACAGAGTTTTTTCTCGTTTATTTTAAGAGATGGAATTAGCGTTCTTCTACAGAAATTATTTTTACATATTGCATTATAAAATATTTGAAATCCATTTATATAAATATATTTTTAAATTTCGAACGTACACACTATAATATTTTTGAATGCAATTTTATTCCAAGATTTTTCATTTCTTAATATTATTCAGATATTCCAAATTTTTAGATAATGAAAGCGGAGTTGGGTCCCATCAAACACGGATTAATGAGACTACATGGAATTGGAAATATTCAAGAATAGCTTCTGCCAGGATAGATGTTAATGCAATAAGTTTTGGATAAAATCTGAGATCCCGGATCACATGTTGCACGAAAACTTCTTTTCATTTTTCATCTTTCATCAATGGGCGATATAGTCCTGGCAGGACTTGGACCTCTGCACCATTTTACTCAACGCTTTGCTTCCCACGTTTCTCCAATTTTCGTTTTAAATAGTTTTAAATTCATTATTATGCCCGATTGTGGGAATGTATTCACTTGAATATCTGAGATTTGAAATCGCCTTCAAGCTAAAAACTTTAAATGGCACTTCAAAAGTTTAATCTTAGTCATACGATGGTATCTGATCGTATATATTGTCCAGAATGGCATGGAATGTTTTCTTGTTTAGTTCCTCTTCATATTCACAAGGAGCATTTACACTTAATATAAACAGTGATATATTGCTGAATGGATTCAGGATAGAACCTTCACTGTTTTCAAGTAGCGCATGTCGGATACTTTTCCTAATCATGAAACCACTTTTCCTTGAAACCAATATATCTTAGGAAGTACTTGTAATGGAATACGATCTCAATATCTCTCCTTCGGATCTCCTGTAAACTTTTGATTAAAGCTCTGCTCACATTTGGTGGTAATATGCTTTGGAGATTCCAAGTCCCGAACTAAATCCACATCCTCCACTGTTCCTCGTTTCACCTCTCTCTCCTCGAGTATCGTTTAAGATCTAGTGTTGGTTGGGATCTATCCTCCGTGTCCAAACGGATACCTCTGGAGAGTATAATTGAATTTTTAATATTCACCATTCCAGTGTAGAAATAAACATTCAGGCATTTTCTGGATTATTCCTCCTGCTTTATCCAGGTTTGGACAGTTGTCCACCTAGCAACAAGATGGATAGTAGCAGAAACACTACATCCACTGATGAAGTTTCATCTTTCAACACTATTTCCTTATTAGGACAGCAAGTGAACAGTGAAGTGCAAAGTTGACGAGTGAAGACCAAGCAACAAGGCGAAGACAGATAAAGACTTTGATTTATTAAAAGTTACTTCAGTTCTATCATTGTGTCAGTTGCTTAATTTAAGCCGCTAAATCTCTGAGTGTATTAATTTGAATTCTACTCTTCGAGTTTCTTTAAAGCAGGTAGTAGTCTAGCTAATGTTAGATGAGGGAAGAAATAATAACTCTGCTATTGCAGGCTATACTATGTTATATTAAAATCACAACTATGAATGCTGCTTAGCTCCTTGATATACCTGAGGCAGTGCTATCCTGAAAGCTGAAACCTCCTTGAAAGGTGGTGCATCTTGTGCTGTGGTTGCGTCCTCCCTCACCGGTCCTCCAGGGACATGGGTCGTGGCATCGCAGCCTCCAGCTCTCCTCTCGGCCATATCTCCCCTCTCTGGAACTCCTGTCTCCGTCCTGAAACAAGATTAGAAATTATATATTTTACCATTAAAAGTTTCAATATATCTAATTAATTCAATGTATATTCTTAGAAAATAGTTAAATGGTACAATCTGAGGTAAGATATTTAGTAAACCAAAAGTATTTCGACAAGAATATATGAATATCTATTTATTATTGTACACGGATAGAAGAATATATTTTTATTATTAGTTTTCCAGTTTTGAACTTTTTTATAAATTATCTTTTCACTGATTTTTTTTTTTTACTTATACCCTATTTTAGCATAAAATAAAATAACAGATATTTTAATCCTTCACAGCCCTCCCCTCCCCATAGCCCTAAAAGTAAGTTTAATCTTTTTATTTGAACTTACCAAGCCACTGACCAAACTTATTAGTAACTTGGACTTACCCAATTTCCGACTACTCCAGTACTTACTAGATGAACGCTCTAAGCTTTCAGTTAATTACAAACTACTCCTATGCACGACTAGAATAACACCTATTTGGACATACGGAGTTGCGATTGGGTGCTCCACAAAGCTCTCGCATTCCTCATGTATCCAATCCATACAGTCCAAAAATCTTCAATGCTTCTTACTTTGTCTCTAATAAAATGATCCATAACCAAGTTAATGTTTCTTATGCTTCTGATTTGGTCCAATCCTGATATAATCCTTCGATAATAAACTTCAGAACTATCCGAACACTCTCGTTTCTAAGCTTGCTTCCTCTTCGATCCCTGATAACTCTCCGAGGCGTTTTAAGGGAAGATGGTATCGAAATCTCCTATTCTAAATACATTTTTTTAGTGTACTACCAGTGGGTAGTTTCTCAACAAGTGTTTTTATGTTATTATTTTCTGTTATCACATTTACTGAATGTATTTTTTTTTCTTTATACAGTTGTAAATATCATAAATAAATTTTAAAAAAATGTATATCAAGCTAGACAAAAATAAAAAAATAGAGATTTTTGTGTAATGTTGTGTGTTTTAAAATTAAAAATGACTGGTTGTCGTATTTCTGATATAACCTATAATATATTAATTCTAATATTTTAGACGCTGAAGAGGGGAATTTTCCGTTAATTAATTTATTAAATAACATTAATTATGTTATTGAAAATAGTTGGTATATAAGGGATCATTAAACTTTTTAATTTATTCATTAAAAAAAACTATACACAGAGAATGAACTTGAAGTCAATTTAATAAATGCATGAACAAAAGTATACATCAAGATAATAATAACCAATAATAAAAATAGAGCTCGGAAAAAGAAACAGTAAGAGCTTCTTCCATGAGTCTTAATAACTACTAGAAATCATTTCTTTGTTAATTCCCGAGACCAAGGAAAAACATTTTTATTTTTAATTAAGAAACACCGTAGACCTGTAATGACCTGGTTAGGAAAATGACATTGATTTTTTCTACTCTCGACCATTGACATCAACTAAGGTCAGGTGGTCATTTCCGTTTTAAGATTGTTATAATAATTAAGTAATTATGAGAATGGCTTAATAGTGACTACAGTGTGAGAATTGAGGCTGTTGTAAAAACTTCACGAAGAAAATTCGTAAAAATTTTAATATTTATTGATTTGGCAAGATTTAAATTTCTCTATTCAAACTCCACAATAAAAGCAACTAGTTACTATAACATAATTAACTATAGTATTAGTTATATTGTTTAATTTTATGAACGATAAAATGCAAAATTCCCTTGTACCTGTATCAGTATAAAATTTGAAGTAAAAATCTAAATCAATTAATTTATGTTTTGATTATACATCGTGATTAGTATTCGCGACACCCTATATTTTCCTCTCTCATACACTACTAAATAACTTAAATATTTATTTTCTATCCTATTGTACAATGCAAAATTAATGTGTAAGCTTTAATATACAAATATCACTTGCTAAATTTACGAAACTGGTACTCACTTTGGTAAATTAGATTAAATCATGAAAAATCACAACACATAATATTCACTTTTCGTAAACAAATACCCGCCAGTTAATGTCCGTGAGAATCAAATTCCTCAAACACATTACGCAGTACGTTACCTTGGACTAATATTCGATGGAAGGACTACCTGAGGCATGTATGTTAAAATTAAACGAAAGACTTTAAACAAACGATTTGAAATACTATATTCATTTTTTTTTCAAACAAAAATTAAATAGTAGACAAAAACTGAATACATACACATACCTACTTAAACCTGTTTGGACATAAGACTCACAGATTCACGGTTCGGCAAAAAACAGTCCCTTACAAAAACTGCAATCTTTTCAATCTATAATTCTTTGAATAAAACCGCAGTCTCTTGTACGTGAACAACGAAACTTTACATACCAACTTAAGACAAACAATTATCGAGCAACACATACTTACTCTTTGCTCAAGATTTCATATTAAATTAAACGGACATAACAAGAGACTTATAAACGATATGGCCAAGGATGACCCGCTCATCAGAAGATTCCAGAAAAGGAGCTGGATGAGAGACCTTCTTTGGTGAATTACAATATTGCCCAGAAAAGGTGCTGCTATGTACTATTCTTCCTCATGTCTAAAATGCCATTTTATAACGTAATATCAAATTTGCTAATTGCCACAATCATGAAAGGTGCGGATAGAGAGAGATATGAAGATAAAAAAAATATACATGTCACTTTCATTACTTTCATCAGACCAACTGCTGACTGTCAACAGGTTAAAGTTCGTCGACGGGTATTTGTATTTAAATTATAACAATACTAATTTAAATACAAAAATTAAGAAAAAAATAATATCAATAAATAAGACACAGGAAAAATATATATAGGAATTTCACTATCATAAAACAAATTCTAATAACAGATTAAGTCTTCTTTTATTGTCACAAAAAAAGGCAGTTCAATTCCGAAAATTTAATTTTCAATTTCACAAACCTTTGATTTCTTCCAACAAAGAAAAAAAAACACTCCTGGTTTTAGAAGGAAGCCTCAATAACTATTGCAACTTAACCTTAACATACTTAAGTATACGGCTGAAGATAAAAATGAATTTTTAACTCTACTATCTGAATCCCAATTTTTTCAAACTAAAAATACAAAGAAAGCCTATAGATTACTCAGTTAAATATGCAAAACAGAAACTTGTGATTAGTTAATTTAATATATAAATATTAAAAAAACTTTTAAAAACTGAAAAATTACAACTCAGGAAGTACTTTGTAAGGAACTACTGTTATAACACCAACGGTTGTGGAGGGAGGTGATCTGGTCAGGATTACTGTCAACCGCCAGATTTCAGAAGTAATTAATTTAATTAATGGTACACACATCAACTCAGGGTCGATCCACGGTTGATGAAAAATTACATCTCATCGGACCTGGGACCTTGAGTTTGGAAGTAAGTGCCTTGCCACTGAATCACCCTCACAAACACATTTCATTTAAAGATATATTATATAAGATACATTATATAATTATATAATATAAGATACATTCATCTTATATATAAAACTTCTGAAAAAGAAACAAATTTCTAATATATTACTAATCGTAGATATTATCTTACGCGATGCAATATCGTTTACATAATATATTGATATCGCATCCTAAAATTATTTTATTCACAACATTACCAAGAAATCTGTTTTGTTTTTATAGTGCAAACCTTATTCAGTCACAAGAACTTAATATATCTTAATACACCCAATAATTTAAGATAAATATAACCATAATCTAGATTTGAGAGGCTTTTCGTTCGTTTGTGTTATTTTTAATTAACAAAACCTCTCCAAAGAAAAATTTGATTACATTAGTCACTTGGTGCTTTTTTATTTATTGCTTTTATAATGATCATATTGTTTAGAGAACTTTTGAATTTTTGTTTACTTATTTTTGTACCAACGTTGAGCATAATATAATGGTTACATATGACCAGCAGTAACATAATATTGTTAACAGAACATTGGATAGATAAATAAAGTATTTATAGTTTATACACCACCCTACGTATTTTTCTGAGTTACTTATTAACTTTAAATTAGCAGATAGCTAATATTTCACTCAAAAAACAGCTTTAAAAAAGGAGTTAAGAATTTTCGCGTGCAGTCCTATCAATTTTCTTTTTGTTAATTAACTTGCTCTAAAAAACATTAAAATAGAAAATAATATAGGATATGGTGTATTTATCGTGTTTTTCCTAAATATCTGCACACATGATAAAAATAAGAATAGCAAAGAATTTAGTTTTATTTTCATATGAATTACCGAACTGATTGTCTCAATAAAGTCTTAAATCTAATTTGTAATACCTAAAGTTTAGCGAAGGGTGTCCATCCACCCCAAAGCCCTCTCTCTAAGGAAGCTCTTATTAAAAAAAACAATAATGTAGCTTAGTTAGTTTTTTTTTTGTTATTTACTTTGAAAGTTCTCTTAAATTCTTTAAATATCACAAAAATACGGTTACCTTTCAAAATTCAAAATCCCATAAAAATGTGCCCTTCTCAAACATTTTGACGGCTAAACCTGTCCCAATCAATCATCATCTTTTGCTTAATCGTTTTTACTACTCTTGTATCATTTTTTTTACTTCACAAACATCGAGACAGTCTAAATTATAACTTATAATCGATAAGGATAAAATGGAATTTAATTATATTAATCGTAAATATATTATTTTTGAAAACATAACTTTTTTTTTGTTCACGCCTACCTCGCATTTTAGGTTATAGAGAGTTTCTCCCGGGTCAGGGGAGAGGGCAGAGAATTAATGCCAGAGTTAAAAGTTCCCCCGGCACCGGCACTCGAACTTGTAATTATTTTATCCTATAAACTTTGGTTTATTAAGTTGATTGTGCAATTTCTGGATACCTCTTCATTTATCCATTCACCAAAAACTATTGTGTCATATTTTTTCTTAGAAGTATTTTTTCTCATTTCGAAAAAGCCTTGAGCTACATGATCTCCCTGTCACATTATTGCGATAAAATTATGTAAGAAGCAAATGGATGCG